CCCAGCATACTCCTGACAATTTAACATGAAGAAGGCATAAGCAATTGGGTCTAAAAGTGAAACATTCATGTCAAAGAACAGGAACCGAGGTCAATAATAAATACACCAAGACAAGACAGATACTAAAATATCCATGAAGTACACAATAGCCAAAGGAAGGTTTTGTTTAGGCAACTCTTATGTCTAGCCATTGCAAGGTGAGGAAATCTAATACCACCTTTTCTATGACTGATACAACTGGCATGGCAAGATGCTAGATGATTCAAATATTCCATGTCTTTAACACATGACTTTTTTGACATCAAGCTCACATTCACACAAGTTAATGCAATATCACTGATAGGGTCACTATTTTAATTTTTAAACTCTTGGAGATTTAAATTTATATAACTCTTATAATCGCCTAAGTGATTACCTAGGTTATTCTACCTTCCTGCTCTCAACATTTTTTCTCCCCAAACCACTTCCCTGGTGGATTGAAGACCTGAGTTAAATTTAGAAAGCTAAAGAGGAAATAACGAATGGTACTACAAAGTTAAAATGATCTTTAAATGTTATAGGAAAAGTTGATAAGTATTTAAATGTGCTTACTCCATAATCGATCAATGAGACTCTCTAAAACAAAATAAACTAGTCTAGTGATATTTATAAAACTTGTACACAGGGAAATAGATTAACTCCTAAATTTGTGGAAACCCATTGAGTTGTCTACCTCTTTTCCTTTACTTCAACTGTCACAAATTCACTTGAATCACTACCATAAAATTATGTAACTTGTATCATAGTTAAAATGGTTACCAGCAGAGTTCTAATTTCTAGAACCAAGTAAAAACCTGAGTAAATATGAATGTAAATATAGGATTTTCTACTATGAGACAAGATTGTCTTTTTTTAAAATAGCACTTATAATAGCTGTACTACCAAAATGATCCCACTTTCATATCAAAATTAAATGGTTCTTTTTTAGTAGGACTTTCATGTGAAATTACTTTAAATTCATGAATGGTAGTAGATAGCTGTTGTTCTGAGTATCTTACAACATGCACAAATTCATAGCCTTTGACTAATCCAATTTTTAAAATGCCTACTTATTTGGTGTGAATATTCATTTCACTATAAATTCCACCCTACTCCCAAAAGCTATAACTATATTTTAAATGAATAAGTACTTTTACTTTTTTTTTTTTTTTTGGTTGCTTTTTGACTGTTTTCTTTAGGTCTTTTGGGAATTCTTGTTGGGCTCATGTCCAATCTACATTTTCTTTGAGGCTTTGATTGCAGATATTTTCAAAATGTTTTCTTCTGAGTTTGTGTCTTGAGCTTCCTGGACACCTTAACTTTTTATGGTCAGGTTTTTATTGTTGGCTCATTTTTCCAGTCTCTTTCTTGACTTTGAGCTTTTTGTTGGAATTGGGTTCTGCTCACCTCTGGAGGAAATGACTGGGCTGAGATTTTGCTTTTACAACTCAATTTGGGAGCCTACAGGTTTCTGGTGCTTCCAGCGTAGTGTGATCCAGAGTGGTAAGGTCACTGCCCTCCTTAACTGTGCTCTGGTCCTTACACAGGTAAAGTCCCTGGCTCCCTCATTCTCTGCCCTGTAACTGCAACCCAGAATGGAGCAATGAGCAACAGAGCTGCCAAAGAGCCCCTGATTTTGTGCCCAGTGCTAGTACAAGGGTGCCCTGGAACTTTTTTCTGACCAGGAGTGCCGTCAGTGTCATCCTTTTTGATCCCTGGGTGCTACTGATACCTCATAGCTCATGGCCACTTCCATGTTCCACTTCTGGCCAGCTCCTACCCCATTGTCCATAGAACTCTCTTAATGTCCTCCTAAGCTGCCCTGGACTGGAATGGACTCACTGTGACAATACTGGCTTTCCCACTCACAATTCTGCTCAGTACTTTCTGTGGTCATTTTGGAGGCAATGTTTTGGGGAAAATTTAGCAGTTACGTGTGACCTTTCACTCTGCTGTCTTGACTTTACCCTAGAATAAATCCTTTTCACAATACAACTCTATTCTAGCACATCTCTTCTCTTGCTTATCCAAAAAAATAGCAACTACTTGACTATTACTCAAATATGCTTAAAAGACAACAACGTGTACAGATGGAACTCATATTAAACGAGAAAGTATCCTTATCAACTTACACTGTGCCTTGCACCAACTATATGAAGTCTGTAAAACATGGTGATTTATTCACACTAATTACCTTAACACCAATAAAATGGACATAATACTTCTACTATGTACTCATGAGATTCACTTTGTAAATGTTAAAGTAATATATAAATATGTATTCTTATTAACATATACCTTAGTGTTCACCAAATAAACCAATTAATTTCTCAGTAAATAAAACTACAGTGAGTAGGGAGAAATCATTTCTCTGGCTTTATAGTAGTTTCAAGAACAAAGTATTTTTCACTATCTTTTTTTGTCATCTAACTTATAACTGACCCTATTTTGAAGTGTGTGTCTCATTTCTATAAATTGATGACTATCTTATACTTATAACCTATCAAGAATCCTTAGTAAAGTTAAGAATAGAAGGAACATTGAAAGCTTACACATAATATCATTTATTCAAAATATCAAACCACCAAAAGATCTAATAAAAACAAATTTCATGTAAAGCTTTTAATGCAATTAAATATGTTTATTGACTGGGATGGAGCCTGAACACTACTTAATAAAGGTTTCTCCAAATCTCAATCTATAATAGAACTACCTAGTTATTTCTATTCATGTCAACTCTTTCCCAAAATGCCAGTGTCAATAAACATAGGCTGAATTTCTTGCTCTTATTGAAGACACCAGAACTCCTAATAATCTCAATTTTTAGGCCAATCTCTGGGAACACAAAAGACAACACACAATTTCAACTTTGTAAAAACTGAAATTCCTAAATTTCAATTTTTTCCACTATAAATATTAATAAAAGAGCAACAAGTATTCCAGAGGAAGAAAGTGAATTTCCTTAATTTTCCTGTCTCACTTTAACAAGTTAAATATGACAAAACACTGAGAGAAAAGGAATTAACCAAACAACATAAGATATTCTCCTTCCCCCTCTCCCCCAATCGTAATCAAAAATGTACTCCTACAACAATCCACAAGCATTTCTTAAGCACTTCCTATGTTCTAGGCATTGTACTAAGGTTGGGGACACAAATGCAGAAATAAGATAGTTCTTGTTGTTAAGGAACTTACTTTCAAACCATGAAGTCATTGATTTCTACAAATGTGATACCTACTATGTTCAATTCATACATTAACTAACATTAGGCGTAAAAATGTATACTATACACCTCTCCTATCATGCATTCCTTCTTCTCCTTTACTTCTTATTGCCTTAGTTCAGGCTTTCATTTTCTCCCACACAGATTTTGCTGGCTCCAGTGTCAGGTCCTCTTTCAAATTTATTCTTAGACATAGCTGCCAAAGTCATCTTCCTAACGTACAAGTCTGATCACATTTCTTCCTGCCCAAAAGTCTTCCTAGTCTCCTCACCCACTGCCTACAAAATAAACTATAAACTCCTTAGCCTAGCCCTCCACAATCTAGCTCCAACTTACCCATGGCCAAACTTTATTCCATATAATTCCCCTTGGTACACTGTACGTTTCAGTCAAATTAAACTTCCTCCTATTCCTGACTGCATCCTGCCCTCTTTCACCTCACTACCCTCCATATAGATTCCCTCAATAAATAGCTTTGTATGCAATGATATTCCCAACTCCAAGCTTTTGCTTCTACCTTGAATTTCTCAAATTAGATTCCAATTTGTAGAATCTTAGAAAGCAAAGCCTCTATGGTGCAGAGGAAAGTGCTGACCTACATAGGCAGGCAGAATGAGCATCCTCTTAGAGGGGTTTCTGAAACCAATGAAATCACTACTGCAGTCTTTATCTCTATTCAACTTTAATTTACGGTATATGTCTTCTACCCACCCCACTAGATTTTAAGTTCCCTCGAACAAGGGCTTTCATTTTTATCTGTGTGCTCCAACATCTAATACAAGGTATTTCTTGTGCAAAATAGCTGCAAAAAATGTTTGTTGAAATTGAAATTAACTTCTTAGCAGTTTCGATTTCTGGGATTAGACCAGTTGAAGACAGTGCAAAATTATTTATGTTTCCTTCATTACAAATTTATCTCCCAGGAAATGGATATAGAAAACACAAAGGGTAAAGTCCAAGAAATATTGAATATGATGCAATGTAAACAAACCCTTGGCATATGTAAATATAAACATGTACAGTTTTGTTCAGTCAAGCCTTCTCAGTGCAATTCCAGATGAAGTCAGATCGTAACTAAAGGAACTGCAGTCCCTCTAAATTCTCTTCACCCATAAGCTGCCAAACTGGCACCAAGGAACTAGAGGAGTTTGATACAACTAAGCACTTAAATGTAGATATGTCATTGCATGAGACTCTTCAAAGGGCTTGCAGAAGAGGTTATTATTGGTGACAGTTTCATGCTTTCATGGTTTAGAGGCTCCACATTAGGCACACCAGTACTGATAAGATCTGCAAACATTTGATAGCATTCCTAGTCTGTTTTCAAGAACTAGTTAAATAAGTAATTCAGTTGCCATGAATACAGGACATCAGTACCACAAAAATTTAAAACAGCTGTATTTAGTCATATAGGTAAAGGAAAAGCATCCTTAATAAGTTTGTACTGAATTTCAATGAAAAATACCACTATATTCTGGATTTTCTGTAGGCTAACCAAAAGCAGCTGAGATTTTAGAGCTGCACTATGAAAAGCTTACAAGTTATTTGACATTATTCAAATTGTTCTGTTTGGATTAGAAAAACCTGATGTCTTAATATATAACTTCTCCTAAATTCTTACTACCTGTAGATTACAATAAGCAACATCTTTGGGAAGTTAAAGTGTTAAATACTAAAACAATTTAGTCAACAAAATTTTCAGCTTACAAGTTTTACAAATTAAAAACAAAACCAGTTTCAAAATAAATCAAAGCCACACATCGTTATATCTCCTTTAGTAAAGTTTGAATGTAGTTTCCAGGTATTGGCACGTATCAACACTGGCTTTGGGTAATTCAATAAAATGCACTGTATCATTGGTCTGAAATGAATAAAACATGGCACAGGAAAAACTTATTATTTAATAAAATAAAACCCTCTTCATAGGCCCAAAACTTAAGCCTTAACAATCTTTTAAAGAAAAATGATAGTTTAAGACCTCTTCCTGACAGAGATTTCATTATTCAAAACAACAATAACAATAAAAATACGTGTTGGAAAAATAAGAAATCATTTTTACCGAAAACAAAGCCAAACAAAAAAGCCACCCATTAATTAAGTGGAAAAATAATAATAGTTGATAAATCTGGATTTAATGAAATAAGGCTAAAAGGGGATGATTTTTAAAATCAAGTTATTTGATACAAAAAAGCTTCTTTCACTGTTATCTCCTCCATTATTTCAGATGTACTTTATTCCACAGTAACAGATTTGGCCAGATTTCTTGGGAAATCAACCTATAATGAGAAGAGGGTAAAGATAAAACAACAAATTGAAGGTTATTTTCTAAAACAGAAATTATACTCTGGCTTTTTTCAATGCTATTAACAATCCCTTCAAAAATCTTTTCAGCGAAGGCCCTAAAAACTGCTCTATTCCTATAAACAAGCTTTCCCTTACATTAAATAAAAATTATATCTATTCATTAGAAATTATACAAACTCCTACAGACAATCAAAAAAAGGTAAATTTATCCTAAATCCCACAAGTCTAGTCAAGGCAAGACAAATTTAAACAATGTAATTAATGTGGGGGGAAAAGTAATTTGTAAAGTATTTTGCTAGGTCATTAGCAACATCATATCTATTTTCTTCTGACAAAAGGAGACCATTTCCTTGTATCTGTAAAATAAACTATGATAACACCAACCATTATGAACATACGAGGAAATACCTAAGAAATAATAGCTGATCAACTTATAAACTTCATGTCAGAAAGTGATCAAATATGTCATTTCATGTTTTTCTACCAAAACTTTTTTTGAGGAAACTCAAGATACTGAAATGGATGTGTGATCTTATCAACCTGCATGTTCCCTTCAGTGACAGAGATTATAATCCACCTATGCTCACTAATCCCTTACTTTCTTTCAATATCTTGAGAATACCAGTATTAAACAAAACATGCTAACCATCTGTCAACTCTCACTCTGGCCACAATACTAGCCCTTCTTTTTGTATATAAATTTCCTTGATTACAGCTTTGCCCCTACTCCTTTTCAAAGTTCCTCACTGATTTTATGTTGCAACGTGCTCACATCCACTAGATACCTCTCCATTGTCCTCTATGATATTCACTTTCAGTTCATCACAGGCTGCTACGTTCCATGTTTCACAGGTATACAACAGTACCAGCAGAGCACTGCTATTCAAGAGACAGGCAGGCTGCCTTTGTTTCTGGGAGAAACTTTGAGCCATTAAGGGAACTCTGCAATTTCCTGAAGGCAATCAGCCTGTTCTTCCCCAGCTGAATTCTGGACAACTTGTCCATTTGTGCTATCCATCCCCGATACACACAGTGATAGACAAATTTCATAGGTTATCTATCCAACTAGAGTTATAATCTGGGGAACAGACATGCTTCATCGACTTGATCTTTGACCTGTGGATGGTCAGGACAGAGTCTCTGAGGAAGCACTACAAGGTTCTGAAGTTTGATGCTCATCATCCACAAGGAATCTGTCTTCAACTCAGATTAGATGCTCCTTTATCACAGTGGCCAACACCTTTGCCAAGCAAACATCTCCCTGTTTTATAAAGCCTCACCTAGTGTTTGTGATCATAGGGAGCTGATTCAGCGATGACTTTAACCCTGGTTAATTATCATCATGATTACACGCTTTTTTCTATCTGGTCAAATATAAACAATTTCATTTCTTGTGATGATACTCTGTGTTTGCTACACCCAGTACCTACAAAATTTTTCTTGAAGAAAATATTCAAGATGTAGTAAGAATGTGGAGATTGATGGTGATTCAGTTTCTCCAGTGCTGTGTCCACTGCAAGGTCACTGGAGAGGATCTCACATCTAGAGTAAGTTCCAAGAGGCAAGCTAAAGTTTACAAAGGGCTTAAACATTGTGTGATTCTGTGAAATCTCTACCCTCTTTTCTGCCACTCTGACACCATTACTGTAGAAGAAGCAAAAGACAGCACAGGACTGAAATCTAGTTTGTATTTTTTTCTTGTTTCATGAGTTGATAAAGAATACATCATTAGTTACAGCCTCTTGATGATGGGGAAAAGAGTAGAATAAAAATCCATAAATGCCTTTGCTAAATGTTAGTGTTATATGAAAAACTTATAAAAATTTATTAGGAAGATCTGGTTCAAGTTCCACCTCTGAAACAAACTGGCTGTGTGTGGCCTTAGGCAAGACACTGACCTCGGTATCCTGAACAACTCTCTAAGGCGATAAGTGTATGAAAACAGAGGTCCCGTCTAAAATTTAAAAAGCAAGCAAGTAAAGAAACAAACAATACAAACATTTTGTAGTAGCCGGCCACTTACATCATATCCTCTCAGAACAGCAAGATGGAAAGCCAGTAGTTGCAAAGGGATGACACTGAGAATGCCCTGAAGGCAGTCCACTGAATGGGGCACCTTGATTGTCCTCTTAGTGTTCTTGATAGTCTCAGTATCTTCTTTGTCACAGATAATTACAGGTCGTCCCTTTAAAAAGAAAAAAAGAAAGAAATTTAACCAAAAAGATATAACAAAGACACTGGGGAAAAAAAGATTTAGAAAACAGGACTTCTCCCTTCCATCCCTATTCTCATTTAATATGAAATTCATCTAACTGGTAATTTTGTTGTTGTCATCTAGTCGTTCAGTTGTGTCCAACTCTTCATGACCATGAGGACCATACTGTTCATGGGGTCTTCCTGGCAAAGATATTGGAGTGCACTGTCATTTCCCTCTCCAGTACATTAAGGCAAACAGAGATTCAGTCACTTGCCCAGGATCACACAACTATTAAGTGTTTTGAGGCCAAATTTGAACTCAGGTCTTCCTGACTACAGGCCCAGCATTCTACCCACTGAGCCATCTAGCTGCCCATCTAGTGATTAGCAGTAGCCATAAATGCATTTTTATCCTATTGGTTAAATAACGGTTGTTCAAAATATGATAAACCCAAAAATAAAATTTCTGTAAAAATAAATATATGCATACATATATCTTCATATATATACACACATACATATGTGAAAGACATAGAAAGAAAAATAAATCATACAAAATTAAGTATTAAAAAACTGTCATATCTGGGAAAAACTGCCTCTTGACATCTCCATCCCAGGCGTATTCAAGAAAGGACTGTTTTACCAGTTCTGCCTTCCCTCAGATGGCAATGCCTCACCCTCTGACTCTCACCCATCTCTTCTTGTACTACATTATCCTCCCCCACCATCTCCCAACAAAGAATTTACAGGCACCTTAGAACTAATAACAAATGAAAACTTCCCTACCCCCTCACCAATTCCCTTATTGTTTCTCCAAACCCATCTGCCTTTGCCATTTTAGGAGAGGATTCAGGCTCTCTGATGACGCTAAACTAAGAGTGCCAAGTATTCTCTGAAAGGAAAGCCCCCCACATGCGGTTTTGTAGCCAGGGAGCACTTGGCCTACAGAACTTCAATAGACGATTCATGGCCAAGCTAGCCAAGAAGGCTAACAAAGACCGACACTTTCAGGTTTCCTCTTGCCTTCCTCATCCCTTTTATCTCATTTCACTGACAGAACACCCACACACTCAATGAAAAGCAAGGAAATTCTCCATAAGAACCAACACCTCTGCCTCCCTTTCCATTTGTGACATCCCCACAAAGCCAATTCTAACAAGGACCTCAAGAATGCAAGCTTCGCTACAAAATATAAACTCTTTAAAAGGGAGTAAAGAGGAAGAAGGGAGTAGCTTCTAGGACAGTGCAATTACACATTGCAATGAGTTTTTATATAAACCAGATTTGGGCGGAAAGCACAGCCTATATTTAGACCAATGTGGTATCTCTGAGTACTTTCACAGAAGAGCAACTGATCCAAATTATAAAGAAAATTGTATTTATTTCTTTAGGAAAAGAGAAGTCAAATAGATTAAATAACCTACACTCCCCTGATAATATTAAAATCTAAGGTAGCAGCTTTCTTCCATAATAAAGAACTGAAAAATTAATTTAAGGGTATTAAATTCTTTTACTAAAGTCCTCCTCCGAAGCTTTATCAGAGTGAAAAGATAACTGTTTTTTTTTAAATTTTGTCAGCAAGCCTACACTAGAAAGGTCTTGAATAAAGCCCAGCAAGAGAAAACCAAGGTAACTAAATTTAGAGAAGTTATTCATAAGAAGAATGACACAAAATAATGAATTTTTCTTACTTCAGCATTCAAACTATCTATTAAGGCATGGATATGGGGCAATCAACATTGGTGAAAGTCCACACACAAACAACAATCATAAGCCAGTAAATTCTAACAAGGTTTTATTACTAAAACCTTTTATCTCCAAAGTGAATGAAAAAAACCAAGGCAGTACAATAGCATGGGACTTACCTGTCGAGCAACAACCTGCTGCAGAGCGTTCTGGCACTTGGCATATGTGTTATCCCTCATGATGATCATGATGACAGGCATCAATTTATCCACCAAAGCCAATGGGCCATGTTTTAATTCACCAGCTAAGATACCTTCTGAATGCATGTACGTGATTTCTTTGATTTTCTAATGGAAAAGAACCAGATGCATTAGTCTCTCATTTAGTGTTTCTTCTCTCCAGTTTTAAATAAAAAGAAATCTCATGGCATCCACTTATTAAGAGCTGCATCATCCTAATGTGGAGGTGACCCTAAATTTTCAAAGGCGATATACCAACAGGGCTTGAACTCTGGTAAGTCATACCAATTTAGAAAAGTTCCAACTATAGCCTCAGCTGAAGTATGCACTCCTGTTGTCAGAAGATCATGAGATTCATGAACAGAAAGATGGCAAAGAGACTTGAGTGCTGGAAATACAAAGTACAGCAATTGACAAGTCTCTGCTCTAAAGGAGCTCACAGTATAATGGAGTAGATAACATTCAAACAACTATGTAGAAACAAAATATATTCATTGGAGATAATTTCAGTGGGAAGGCAGTCAGATTAACTGGGACTAGGAAAGACTTCCTGGAAAAGGTGAGACGTTACTTGAAGCTTGAAAGAAGCTAAGAAGGACAGGCGTGGAGGTGAGGAGGGAGAGTTCTAGGCACGGGGGATAAGAAGTGAAAATAAGTTGAGTGATGAAGCGTCTTATATGAGAAACAGCAAAAGAAATATCACCTACATCAACAAATCCTACCTAATTTTAATCTACTACTTCACCTTTTCCAATGCCTGCATGTATACCATAAAGGTCTTCAAAATATTCCTATTCATTTTTAAACTTGGATAACTTAGATTGCAGGCATGATAGAAATAATCAAGAAACTGTATTCAAAATAAAATTCAAGTCCAGAACAAATTAATTACATAATCGCAAGCAATATGTAATTTCAAATCAAATATAGGGTACTCCTAATAAATGCCATACCCCAAAAAGATATTTTTAAAAGAAAAAATAGCTAGGTGGTCCAGTGGATAGAGCACCAGCCCTGAAGTCAAGAGGACCTGAGTTCAAATCCGGCCTCAGACCAAACACTTGACACTTAACTAGCTGCGTGACCCTGGGCAAGTCACTTAACCCCAAATGCCCCAACCAAAAAAAGAAAAAATGGGGAGGAGAGGTGTTTGCAGCCTTAAAAATCACACTGATTATAAGCTCAGGTATTATATAAGTAAGCTTGGGGTGGGGGGAAGAGAAGTACAACACATTTAAACCAATATAGAATTTTTATTCCAGATGCTATGAAAAAAATACACTGTATGGATGATGAATAATTGTGTCCTAAGACTAACAGAAATGAAGTCTATATCAGCAGTAAGGCTACAATTCAGCACTCATAAAAATTATTCATTATTTCAATGACTACATCCTCAATGATTGAAAGTTTTAAAGTTTTAAAAACTTTTAAACCAAGGGTTTGAAAAACACCCTATTTTGCTTTGTATTTATTGCTATCTAAGTTTGCAACTTTCATTTCCTCGCTTCATTTTTTATCTTCCCAACTAGATTTTAAATTGTGCCCACGAGGAAACAATGACGTAGAGCAGAAAGTACAACTAAAAGACAAAGTTCAAATCTCTCTTATGTTTACTGGCTAGCTGTGCTTCCCTTTCTTCTTCTGTATATGGGAGTTATTACTTGTACTACCTAAACCTGACTCAAAGCAAAGTGCTTTGTAAACTATAAGATGCCATAAAAATGAATTATTTTCATGCCTCCTACCTCCACTTAGTATACTGTAAAGAACAAAATACATCATGTGCAAGTTCACATTTTGCTCTTTTCGAAAGCCCAATCTTATGACAATGTATTCTTGTTCAAAATATACTTCCGCATTAAACACTTGGTATGTACTTGCTTGAAAGAAACTAAAAGATATATAAACATTCTGACAAGTTTTCAAATTCTCTAGTTCCAGATAAGTATTTATTGTTAAATTGATTTCAGAACAAATAAGCAGACCACTTACTAGGGCTCCTTCCAAGCAGGTAGCATAGTGATATCCACGTCCCATAATCAACACTGACTTTTGATGATAAAGTTCTATAGCCAGTTTCTGAATTTCATCATCCATGCTCAGTACTTCCTTTATCAAATCTGTTTAAAAAAAAAAAAAAGAAAAAAGCATTAAAGTCCAAGAAAAAAAAAGATTAACACACAACTGCACAGGTATATTCACAATGAAGAATTAGAAATAGTCACAAAAATGTCAGTTCTTATTCATTTAACTAACAGCTTGGTCAGGGGAAGGAGGGATTTCTTTCTCTGTGCAGCAAAATTTTATGCACTGTTTTAGAAGTTAATACTCCAGTGTATATAAGACAATTTCTCAGAAACAAATCACATTTCACCCATACTTATATCTCAGAAAACAGAATACCAAAGGATGAAAAAAATACAATATTTCACATTAACCTACCAGGCAACCCCTTCAAACCAAGCACGATTTCTTTACGTCTTTCTTGCATTGAAATCCTATCATCACACATCATGAGGGCAAACATCACCAAAGATACAAATTGGCTTGTATAAGCCTAAAATAAAGAGAAAATAAGAACATTATTTGTTATCACATTTTAACAATTTGGAGAAAGTTCATTTTTTTTAAGCTAGGGAAAAAAATACCTATGTAACTTGACATTGTAAGATTGTCCAATGTTTCAGGAATGGTGGGCAGTAAACTAAGAAATACAAAGGAGTTTGGTTGCTGCTCCCTATTCAAGATGTTTGGCAAATCATTTTATGTGTCTGTATTTCAATTTCCCCATTAAAGTAAAAATGCTTTAACGATATTATATTCATATGCATATGCAATACATGCTTTCTCTTTCCTGAGTACCTTCTAACATTCCTTCCAGTCCTGAATCGCTTGTGGCTTAAAAGATTAGCATACTAACATCTAAAATACATGTAAAAAAAATTTCATCATCTTCCCCCAATTAAGTATCACTTAGCTTCTACACTAAAATCAGCAGCATTCCTTATCTTCACAATCATTCAGGCTTACAACATTCACACCAAAAAAACAAAACAAAACAAAAAAAGAATTGATTTTGTCACTACATTATGATTTGTGTAAAAAAGACAAGAGGCAGTAGAGCTTGGAATCAAGAAGACCCAAGTTCAAATACAGCCTCAGACACTTACTACCTTGTGTGACCCTGGACAAGGAAGTCACTTAAAATCTGTTTGCCACAGCTTCCTCATCTGTAAAATGGGGATAATAATAGCATCTATCTCCCAGTGTTGTTATTAGGATCAAATGAGATAATATTTGTAAAAGCACTTGGCACAGTGATTGACATATAGTAACCACTATATGTTAGTTACTATTACTGTAAGTGCTTAATAAATGCTTTTCCATTTTTTCATTTATTTATTCTCCACCCAAAAGAAAATCATGATTCTCCCCTCAAGTTTGTGGATTTCCACAAAAGAACGTTTCTGGACACACAGTGGTATTCCACTATTCTAATTTATTAAGCATCTACTACATGCAAGGCACTATGCCATAGTTATAGATAGAATCAGACATATTACACTGCCTTCTAGGAGCTGACAACCTAGTAGAAATTTTGAGAGACCGTGAGTATAGTAGAAGGATGAAAAAATATAATATTCACATTAATCTACCAGGCAACCCCATCAAAGCAAGCACTATTTCTTTGCGTCTTTCTCCCACTGAAATCCTACCATCACACATTACTATACTAGATGTACAGTAAGGAGAGGTCTGGGTTTAAATTCTGCCTTTTAACACTTGCCAGTTGCATGACCACAAGCCATTCCACTTCCTCATCAGTAATAAATGATGAGTTAACACCATCGGTAACCTAACAGGGAGACCTACAGTGAGGCTCAAATTGAATAATGTATTGCTGTTGTTCTTCAGTCATGCCAGATTCATCGTGACCCCATTTAGGAGTTTCTTGACAAAAATACTGGAGTGGTTTGCCATTTACTTCTTCAGCTCATTTGAGAGATGAAGAAACTGAGGCAAACAGGGTTAAGGTAGCTACAAAAGAAGTTTTCAAAGTTTCAAATCTCTCCAAAAGGAAGATTCAAGAAGAAAAAGTTCCCTTCAAGCTGAGAAAGGGATGTCATCAATTAGGGAATGGCTACACAAGCTGTGGCATATAATTGTAATAGAATATTATTGTGCTATAAGAAATGGCAAGCAGGATGATTTCAGAAAAACCTGGAAAGACTTACACGAACTGATACAGAGTGAAGTGAACAGAACCAGAAGAACACTGTACACAGCAACAGCAATACCGTTTGATGAAGACCTGTGAATGACTTGGCTATTCTCAGCAACGCAATGATTCAAGACAATTCCAAAGGACTACTGATGAAGCATGCTATCCGCCTCCAGAGCAAGAACTGATACCAGCTGAATGTAGACTGAAGCATGTTATTTTTTCATTTTCTTTCATTTTTTTCTTTTATTGGAGTCTTCTGGTATGAAATTACTAATATGGAAAATATTTTACATAACTGTACATGTATAACCTCTATGATTGCTTAATCATCTAAGAAATGGGTAAGGGGAAGAGGGGCCAAGGGATAGAATATGCAACTCAAAACTTTAAATTTTTTTAAAAGGACTTCAAAACATCTTCTCCATCTAGCCCATTAAAATCAGAACAACATACCTCTGAGCCTTAGCTTTCTCTTTATGAACTGAGGGAGTTTAACCAAATGATCACTATAGTCCATTTGAGCTCCAATCACAATATATACTTAAATACCTTAGTATAAGGACAAGAGTTCAGCTGGAAAGGAAGACTATGATCCAGGAACTGAATGCATTGACAAAGGAAGGACAGTGTCCTACAGGCCAACAGGTAACAGTCACTAAAATCTAGATTGGGTAAAAAATGTGGATAGAGTTAACATGGAGGTGAGGTTACTGAGTAATGGTAACAAAGGGAAAGTCTTCAAGTGGCAATTTGAATCAAGAAGTAATCTAACCTCCTTCCTGGAACCAGTGAAGTAGAAAGCATGAGAGAAAATACTGGAAAGAGTATGGAGAACATGAGAGAAAGTACCAATACCGGAAAGGACAGACAGTAAGGGATGCAGTGTCATCCAGAAAGTCTGGTCTCTGAGTAGCAAAGATAGGACCACGATTGAAAATTTAAAAAAGAGTACAGGTCACCAATTCTTAAATGAAATAATGAAAGATTACAAAATACATTGTTTTTTAGCTATACCTAGTCTAGGAATTTATATTCTAGGAAAAAAAATCAACATAAAGGCAATAAAGTCATACAGAGGATCACTCTAAGATATGTTCTAGATGCAATCAAGGGTCAAAAGAGTAGGAAGAAGAAGGAAGAAGCACAAAATTTGGATTCTGAGGATCTTTATTCAAACCCATTTTGCTACTTCCTACTTGTGTTGGACAAGGAAAAATCTCACTAGGTCTCAGTTACCTCATTTACAAAATAAAAGGGTTACACTAAAAGACATCTCAAGATTCCTTTTAGCTTTAAATGCTATGACCCAGACAGGTGACTAGTTTCTCAAGTCCATGAATAAAATATTACTCTAAAGACAAAAGTATCCTGTGTTTGATGAATGGTGGTATTTCCATGCAACAGGGGATCTTAATTACAAATGCTTGGTGAACTCAGTAACTTTATCTCACATTATTCCATCCTAATCACAGCCTCAATTTCACATCTTCTCATTAATTAACAACGAACAACTCAACAAATTGCTGAATTTCATTGCCAACTTGCAGTTCAGAAAGGGTTTTATGAAAGAAGAACTCTACTGTAGTGCCACTGTATCAATCTGGATGAGCTCCTAGTTTTATGATTAGGTAGCTGGTACACAACAGATACAGTACTGGGCCTGGAGCTGGGAAGACAAATTTAAATCTAGCCTCAGATACTTACTAGCTATGTTATCCTTGGCAAGCTGCTTAGCCTCTGTTTGCCTCATTCTCCTCATTTATAAAATGAAAGCACCTACCTAAGAGTTACCATGAGGATCAAATGAGATAATATTTATAAAGAGCTTAGCACAGTGCCTGGCAGAGAAGGAGCACTTAATAAATGCTTGTTCCCTCCAATAATGTTATGAACAAAGTTAAATTTGAGACCTAATCCCCTAAACAATGTTTTCTTTGCTACACTTTTCCACGAATCTTGAGGAGAATACCTGAAGGTTATAAATTACTTATTGTTTACTAGTAATTCAATGATAAAATGATACTCTAAACACAAACAATTGAAGTATTTTAAATATCACTAAAAAATTACAGGGGGAGTTTGGGGGTTATCAGTAGAATGTTCAACTTTTATTCTTTTTTTCCTCATCTATAAAATGGGGATAATAATGATTATAGAAACTATATAAACCTATATACTACAAGCTGTCAAAATCCATATAACCAACATGAGCTAATATAAGCAAAATTCACTGCATATTACTCTACTTGGCTAGTTACTGACAAAGCTGGGTAGAAGCCTGGCATCTGGACAAAAAGAGTAGAACACTTTTTTCCAGGATAAGAAAATGCCACAGTAGCAGTTCTCTTCTTTTCTTCCCTTACCTTTTGAAATATGAAATTCTCAACAATGCAACTGAAGAATGTATGAGATGTTCTATTTTTAGCTAAAGAGAAACCTTAACTATTTGTCCAGGAAGTCCCCTATCCGTACTATATCCTGTTTCAATGCCAGATTTGTGACTCGTGTCAGTACTTCAACCATTGCTTCAATCTGGCTGGGCATTTTTAACACATATCACTGCTTCTATTTCTCCTTCCTCTGATCCTTACCCAGATGTCCCCCATCATGCTTCCTCAGTCACATTCATCAATTTGGATCCAAATGAAAGGATCTTGTCTTTTTTTTTTTTTTGCTGAAAAACTTTTCATTGTAGGTGGAGTGGGATAGCTGGACACAGTTTAGATGATTCCAATTTTATTGGCAACATCTAAAGCACCATAGTCTGGAGCAAGTCGGACATAGGCCTTCTCTCTCCATCTGGCCACGTCAATGTCTTGCAGCTTCCTTACTGCCTGCTTGGTCTGATGCTTGTTGGCGTCGACATCCACAATGAAGACATGGGTGGTGGTGTTCTCAAACGTCTTCACAGCAGACTCAGTGGTCAGGGAAAACTTAATAATGGCATCGTGATCAAGCTTGTTTCTCTGAGGGGTAATTTTCCGAGGGTATTCAGGCAGCCATTGAAGTCTTAGTGTCTTGGGTCACCGGAAAGAGGAGGAGGTTTTTGTGGCTATGAACACCCTTTAAAACTGCCTTCTTGGCCTTCAAGTCCTTGGACTTGGCTTCTGTCTTGGGGGCGGACAACTGCTTCTTTCTTTGCCTTTGGCGCCATCTTGAGGAAAAGGGAATGGATCTTTTCTTGACAGACAACATTGCCTTGACATCCTTCCTTTCTTGACTTTTTTTTTGGGGGGGGAAGGGGGGAGTGCTAGGCAATGGGGTTAAGTGACCTGCCCAGGGTCACACAGCTAGTAAGTGTAAAGTGTCTGAGGCCAGATTTGAACTCAGGTTCCCCTGACTCCAGGGTATGTGCTCTAGTCACTGTGTCACCCAGAATGCCCCCCATTCTTTCTTTCTGATCTGCTCCCCTTGAACAATCTACCCTTTCATTACAATGCTTCAGTATTAAATCTATACTGCCAAGTCTTAAAGATAAAATAAGATCATACATTCCTAATATACAGAGTTTCTTTTGTTCATTACTCATAACCTGTCCACTTACATTTGGACCTCTAAGGACATAAATACCAGTTTCTTCCCTTCATTTTCCCCAGCAAATTACTAAACACCTTATTTTTGCTCTTCCTGGGTCAGAACTTTTCTCTATAATATCTCACTCAGCAAGATATAATTGTCTTGAAACCTCCTTTTTTTCAGTTTAAAACCCTCTAGATCAGATTATTCTCAAAATAAGTCATGTTCCAGAAGCTATATCCTCTATTTTGAACAAAAGAATTAATTAATTAAAAAACATTTATTAAGTGGTAAGTACAAAGTACTAAAATAAGTGATGGGAATACAAACAGAAAAGTCAGTCAGTCCCTGCTCTCAAGAAGCTCACATTCTAACGGGGGAGAAAACAAATATGGCAGGTTTCAGCTGAAAGGCAGTTGGAAAGGTCCTGAGGGTATAGTGGCAAAGAAGATTTTAATGCCTCTTCTTTAATGTCATTCCCTATGATAAAATACCTATCAACTTATGATATTGAATTATTTGACAGTACAAAAGACTTCAGTGGCAAGAATTTTCTTTTCATGGTCTTCAGTACCTTGTGGCTACAACACCCACATGAGGAATGGTCAGATCACAGAGGCAGCTTCCTTGAACAATATGGGGCCCAGGCTGAAAGCAGGACCAGTGGTCTGGGCAACGCTGCCACATCGAAGGCTCGTAGCTTCTGGGCTCCTGGCTACTTCCTTTGTCCCTCTAAGGTTCCCCTGCTGCCTTAGGTCTGCTGGGTCACTGCTGCTGGTCATAGGTGGCAGCTGGTCAGCAATCTGTGAAGATCATTGGTACCTTCTACAGAGAAGTTGCTTCCCTAGACGATGGCTTTCGGGATGGACTGCAAACAGGATCAGTGGTTTGGGAAGTGGTCCCAGGACTCTTGCTTAACTAATTATCTGCCATCTTTTCACACACATACCCCTCCTGTATTCTCCTTCATATCCCTATCATCAAATATTAAGTAGTAATGCTCTAAAGTCCTTCTATTTCTTATCTTCATAATCCTGGAACTTTATAATCCCTAGATCAATATTGTTCATTCCATAAATCACCAAACTGAGGTAGTTATAATCAGGTTTAACAATTCTCTCCCTCATTAAATAATCAATGCCACTCTATTTGACCTCTCCCCTATGTCCTTTGCATATGCTAAATTTGCATTATAGGAATTTATATACACCTTATCTACCTGCTCCTACAAACATAATTAAATTAGAAACTCTCTTACTGTATGGTCTACGTTGTGTTTTCGTAGTTTTATTCCCAGTGCATAAAATATACTATAAAGAGTAGATGCTCTATAAATGTGATAAGTATGGGAATTATTCTCTGAAATAGACATTAACCCATGTTTTCAACATTAACTCTCTATACACAATTTTTTAACATTCAATACCACTGACAAAACCCTCTTCCTAGATATTTTTTCCTACTATGACAACGCTCTCTTGATTCTCTTACTTATCTAGTAAGTCTCTCCTCAGTGTCCTTTGCTCCATCTATTTTTTGCTCACTCAACATAAGATATTCCCCAAGGATCTACCTCAGCCCCTATTCTTGTCTCTTGACACTTCTTTGGTGATCTACCTACACCAAAAGATTCACCTTTATGCAAATGATAAAAAAAAATACAGGTACACATATCTATGTGTATACATATGTATATATATAATTTAGCAGTAAAATCTCTCACAAACTCTAGTCCTACTCCTCCCACTCCCTACACGGTTCCATCTCGATGTACCACTAGCACTTCAAAGTCAACGTGTCCAAAAGGTAATTTATCATTTGTCCCCTCTAAACCCACTCTTCTTCCAAATTTGTCTTTACCTGTCAATGGTAACAGCATCATGGTAGTCACCTAGATTCAAAACCTCCCATTCATCTTTGCCTCTTCTCTCTCCCTCACTCCTTAATATCTGATTAATTGCCAAGTCCTGTTAATTCTAATCTTGCAACAAATTCCCCATCCATCCTCTCAACTCACCACTCTAGTTCTCATTACTGGAATACTGTAATAACCTCCCAACTGGATTCACCACCTATAGTTTCTCCCCTAAACAATCCATCCCTCATAAAGCTTCAAAAAAATCTTCCTAAGACACTGCTCTAGCCATGTAATTTCCTAGCTGTAAAACCTCCAGAGGCTCTCCACTGCAACTAAAATAAATTACAAATTTCTTGATCTGACATTTATGGCCCTCCATAATCTAGCTTCAATCTACATTACTAGCTTTATTTCCTGTTACCTTTCTCCTTACCTTAAGCACTCTTAAGTTCCAGTTCAACAGGACTATTAATGGTTTCACGAATTCAGTTTGTCATCTCCCACATCTCTGCACATTTCCACAGCTCATGCCCCCATACCTACACTGTACTCCCTCCTCAAACATACTGTCAGAATTCTCATTTTTCTTCAAGGTTCACCTCAGTTGCCATCTCTTCTGCTCTGCCTTCCCTTACCCATCCAACTGAAAATATTTTCTCCTTTAAATATTCCTGGAGCATTTTTTCTGGGTCTCCCCTTTGCCCTCATCTTATATACTATTATATATTATACTTCTGTATATGTGTTTTATCTCTTCCCTGTTGCCTAGATAAATGTAAGCTCCTTCTGGACAAGGATTATTTTGTACCTCCAGGACACAGAACAGCACAAACAATATTTACTAAATTGAATTAGAAAACTAAATTTAAACTCTGTACATGTCTGAGTTTTAAATCCTTGAATCGGACACCACTTGTCCTTAACTACTTCCTCTAAAACTACACAACTATTATTATTATATAATATGTTGCCAAAATTTTATTTGCTGATTACACATTAAAAGTTTACGAAATCATAATCTGCCAAACAGGAGATAGAGAACATTACGAAAAGCAAAATGGATAACTTTGATTACATTAAACTGAAAAATTTTTGCTCAAACAAAGCAAATGCAACCAAGATGAGAAGGAAAGTAGAAAATTGGGAAAGAATTTTTATAACCAGTATCTCTGATAAGGGTCTCATTTCTAAAATATATAGAGAATTAAGTCAAATTTATAAGAAAACAAGTCATTCCCCAATTGATAAATGGTCAAAGGATATGAACAGGCAGTTCTCAGATGAAGAAATTAAGTCCATCTAATGCTCTAAATCACTATTGATTGGAGAAATGCAAATCAAAACAACTCTGAGGTACCACATCACACTTATCAGATTGGCCAACATGACAAAACAGGAAAATGATAAATGTTGGAGGAGATGTGGGAAAATTGGAACACTAATGCATTGTTGGTGGAGTTGTGAAATGATCCAACCATTTGAGAGCAATTTGGAACTATGCCCAAAGGGCTATAAAAATGTGCATACCCTTTGACCCAGCAATAGCACTTCTAGACCTGTATCCCAGAGAGATCATACAAATGGGAAAAGGACCCACATGTACAAAAATATTTATAGCAGCTCTTTCTGTGGTGGCAAAGAATTGGAAATTGAAAGAATGCCCATCAATTGGGGAATGGCTGAACAAGTTGTGGTATATGAATGTAATGGAACACTATTGTACTATAACAAATGATGAGCAGGTGGACTTCAGAAAAACCTGGAAAGACTTGTATGGTCTGATGCTGAGTGAAGTGAGCAGAACCAGGAGAACATTGTACACAATAACAGCCACGTTGTGTGATGAGTAATATTGATAAACTTAACATTTCTCAGCAATACAAGGATCTAAGACATCTCCAGAGGCCTTGTGATGGAAAATGCTATCCACATCCAAAGAAATAACTATGGAGTTTGAATGCAGATTGAAGCATACTTATTTGCTATTTTTTTCTATCAAGTTTTGTTTCCTCTTTCTGGGTGGTTCCTCCTATTGGTTTTAGTTCTTACTTACAACATCACTAATGTGAAAATGTTTAATAGGAATGTATATGTATAGCCTATATCAGATTGTGCGCTATCTTAGAGAGCGTGGTGGAGAGGAAGGGGGAGAAAAATTTTAAACTCAAAAGCATATGGAAGGGATTGTTGATAAATCAAAATAAATTCATTAAAAAAAAAAAAAGAAACCATAATTTGTTCCTAAAATATTTTGATCATGAGAATGAGTTGATTCAATTTACCTTTGTGCTGGCCACACCAATCTCTGGACCGGCATTAATATGAACTCCACAATCTGTCTCCCTTGATATGGAGCTGCCAACAGTATTTGTAATTCCTACTGTTAAGGCTCCTCTCTCTTTACAATACCTAAGACACATTAATGTATCTGCTGTCTCTCCTGTTTGAAAAAAGAAGTGCAACAAATATATTCTTATATTTATTTTTGTGATTTTAAAAAATAATTATAATTCACATTTACATAGTGATTAAGGCTATAAAAGGTTTTATATGCATTAATTCAGAAGGAAGTTTTAAATGAACTCCTTAAGTTATTATTCATCCTAAAATAAATTATTTCCATGGAGTAAATAATATATTACTACATATCATATAAATGTTTTCATTTTTTCCTTCTGAATCATCTTAAATTTAGCTCTTTCTTGATGCTACATCCTTCTAGCATTTTTTAAAATCAATCAGGTTTTATACAAAATGGTATCTACATTGGATATGTCATAGAAATAACCATTGTACTTTTTACTACCCTGTGCCACCTAAATATGCTGGAATCATTAGAAGTGACACTAAGATACAATTTAAAAGTATTCCAATTTATGTCAAATACATAATTCACACATATCACAAAAACCCCCTTTATAACTTTAAATGAATGTACCTGATTGACTGATGAAAAAGCAAACATCATCTCGAAAAACCGGAGTGTTTCTATCCAGAAAGTCACTGGCAAGTTCCACCATAACAGGCAACTCTGTCAATTCCTCAAGAACTTGACGAGTCTGTAAGAGAGATGTCAAACAGTCATATAGTCTTCAGTGTTTTAAATATACTTCTTTTCACTTAAAGACTTTGGAATTTACCAATTTATCTTCTCTTTATTCCTCAAGGTTCAAGTCTTTACATTTCCCCCATCAATCTCAGCAGATAACCTTGTTTCCTAATTTATTGACAATAGGTCTAAAGCTGATAGTAAATCTCTTACCTCCTTTCACCTAATTCTCTCTATGCTCTACGCCATTCTTTCCTCTTTCCTCCAGTCTCATAGTGAGTGGAGGCTCTCCTTTCCTCTCTGACCTTGCCCCCCATCAATTGTCAGCTCTTAATCATGCTTCCTCAACCTGGGCTCCTTGATTTCTGCCTTTAAAAAATTGTCATAGTGCTCACTACTCTTAAATACAATTCCCTTAATTCTGCTACCCTCTCAAGTGATCATACCATATCTCTGCTATCCATCACTAAACTTTTCAAAAGTATAGTCTACATTCTCTTTCCATTTCCTTACTCCTCAGTCCCCCAAAATTTGGATTTCAATAATGATCTTATTGCCAAATTCAGGGGATCTCTGTCAGTCTTCACTTTCCTTAAAGATTTTTTTCTTCCTTCAGTTTCTGTGATCATCAAACTGTTACTGAGTACTGTGTACAAAGAAGGCAGCAAGATAAAATGTTTGAATTTTTGTTTTGGGATTTGTGAAGCCTAGACCTATGATTTTTGTGGTACAGAGCAGTCATTACCAAACTTTTGGAAACATGTTCCTCTATCAGTAAAAATATGTTGAACAAACACACTACCCCCATATGCAAATTTATTTGTAAATTATATATTAATAAAGTAGTATATATACATGTAATAAAATACATTAAACATAGAAATTTTTAAAAAAGAGATTTTAATTTTATCAATGATACAAAAAACTTTTCTGCTCACTAAAAAATTAATATTAGTATTATTTTTAATTAAAGTGATATGTTTGAATACTTCTCATTTTTTTTTAAATCTTGGTTTAATACTTTTTGATAGAGTGATTCAAAGGTTGAATTCGAAGTTTGGTTTATTTGAATGCTTTGCTTCAAAGGCTATCAAAGCTGAGAAAAACATTTAACAAAGATAAGCAGATCCAAACAGAAGTGCATAATTAGCTGCACTTAATAAAGCATGATACTTATTTTACAATAACATCCACAAATTATGAAAAGGTTTTTGTTGAATTCAGTTAGTAAATTTGCATCTACACTGGTGTTATCATTGCAAACTAAATGGAAGGCATTGCATGCTTATCTTCTTACCATAGCTATTCATGTTCAAAATATATAAAGTGAATTAACCTCCCCTCCTATCGCTCAGCAATAATACTACATTTCACAAAGTTTCACTGCCTTCTTGAAGTACACAGTTATATGAGGTTTACAAGCAGTGTATTAAATAAGAACTTTCTAATAAGACAGAAAACCCTAACAATAATAACACAGAGTTTTCCTTCTGGGCAAACTACCATAAAGTTTTTAAATATTTCATCTATAAAAAATGATCCTCGATCTTTCCTACTTTTGACATGTATCAATATGCTATTGTTATTTACAAATAAGCTATCCATGTACAAAATACTTCAAAAGTAATGTTTTCCTTTCAAATATCTGGGGATCAATAGCTGAGTCTAACTCTTTCGAATACAGACTAATCAAGAGACATATTTTTCAGTGAACAGAGGGAGAAAAATAACAATGACTAGTTAATTACTTTAACTTTTAAGTATTTTAAAAATAGCATTACCAAAACAAAGATTAAGTCTGTATTAATGTCGTTCTTTGAAAGGAAAACTATTGCATTATATTATAATTGGAATAATATGTTTTTTCCCCTCTTCCATGATGCAAAAAAATCATAGGGACCACTGAAGCAGTTGCTCCTTCTGGAATGGTCTGAGTGCAGTCTTGTCTCTAGCCAGAGGGAAGAACAAGACCAATACTTCTCAGACTTTTTTTCTAGTTTTCACATCATTTTGTTAGGGCAAAAATGTCTGTGAACATCTACCTGCTCAACTCTATCAAAAATAACAACAACAAAAAAAAAAAACCTCACTAGAATGAATAATGAAGAAACACTAATGAGCTGATATTGATTTTCATCAACTATCATAAACCAATTATTTAATAGAAACACTCATAAAAATATTAATGTGTTGTGAGATACCAATTAGTAGCCGACATCTACTTTTGGACCAAAAAATCCTTTCAGTTTAATGGCCCCACATTAAAAATAAACTTTAAGCTAATTGTCATTAGGCTAGTATTTCAACTTCTAATTAAAAATATGGCAAAAAAGTCTTACTAAAATCAGGACTTTTTTTGGAGGTAAAAAGAGCTTTCCCATCAGGCAAATCTGCTGAAGTTTCTTTGATTCTCAAAAGAAGGCAAGGATAAAAAGAGAATTAAGGATACTTTCTAGAGCAGCAGGGATTTTACTTTGCAGTCCTTCATGAAGCCAACATTAGAGATTCTACTAGTCTGTAAATGCTTCCACAATCAGTTTTTCATGACTAAATTACTCTATGCCATTCCAACATCTTGAAACAGCTTTTAAATTCCTTGAGTCAATTTCACTTTTGCAACAAATGAGAAAAATAACATTACTTTTTAGCAAAGACTGAAATTTCAAGAAACCACTCACTGCAACGCCAGCATGATAACTTGTCCCACATGCAATAAGGATCAAACGTCGACATCTCTGGATTTCTTTGATGTGATCTTTCAAACCTCCCAAATTTACTGAAATAAAGATTGTTACATTTTTTAAAGGACCACATTTGATAGCATTTCAGAAGTTTGGCAATACAAATGACACTAAAGACATTCAGCAGTTTCTAAAGCAAAAAGATTTTTTTCTATCAAGGTTTAACAAGTAAATAAAATCTATTTCTGCTGAAAAAGAAATTCTAATTTTATAACATATATATTTAACACATCAAGGAAATATTTTCAAAATTCTCAAGAATTACAAATATAATTTTAGAAAGTATCAGAAACGTGTAGTTCATTATCCTTAACAGAAACTAGCTCATTTGCATGACTTAACTTAGTGTCATGATACTGCCAGTTGCCCAATTAATTAGGTTCAAAACAGTATTATTAGTATTAAAGACCACCAATTCCACTTCTACCAAATCTGTGGTCCACCCCTCCTTTCCATTCCCATTCCTCCCCTCCTTACACCACCAATATTACAAGCTTTAATGAACCTTCTAACAGATCTTCCTAATCATAGCCTATCCCTTATCCAATATAACCTTCCTATTGCTGCCAAATAAACTGCAAAGATCTGATCACATTATTCCACCATCTAAAAACCTTTAAATGCATGCCTGCTTTCAAACCCAATCATTCTATTTCCTTAGCTTACACAGCACTCATTCAGAAGCCTAAAAGTCTAACATGACTGTTCCTGTTCCCTTCACATCACAGTCAAAAAAAAATTAGTAACCATTCTACAGGCACACCCACTCCACCCTGCCCAATGCCTTTGCTGACACTATTCCAGGGACCACAGAGGTATAAGGATGGTCCCTTAGAAAAAACCACCCATCTTTTAAGGTTAGGATCAGATTCTCTTACTCTCAAGCATTCGCTGATTTCCTTCCCTCCTCAAGAATAACAGCTCTTACCAGAACCAGGACAAGAACTGATACAGGAATTCTGAGAAATATAAGAACTCTGATCAGTGCAGTGAGAAATCACAATTTCAGAGCACTATACAGAGTGATAACAGACTCAAGATGAAAATGAGATGTAAATCTTCCAACACAGCCAAGGTAGGCATTTGTTATGTTACATTTTTCTTTTTCTTTTCTTCAGTGCAGAGGGGGATGAAAAGGAAAGGAATATAGTGATAAGGTTGCCCCAAAAAGTGAAAGGTCATTTTTTTTTAAAAGAAGCATTTTTTTTTAATGCAGAGAAAACAACAGAAAGCAAGAAACACAGACATGCAAAAAGGGCAACCCTGAGAGTTACATGCTGAATCTAAGTAATATGCACACACAGAGATTCACAGTTTCAAATACTGTCCTACTTTTCTGTCCTACTTTGTACATAGAAATGCTCATTTCATTTGGTGTTTAAGTTCAAAATTTTAAAAAACAATAAAATTAGAAAAAAATGGCAAGTGGCACTTCGTATTTCCCTCACTTAAAGTCTTTGTGATCTAGTTTGGAGTATGGGTCTCTATGAAACAGTTTGTAAGATTCTTGGGTATAGGGACAATGTCTCCTTTATCTTTTTTATCACATCTGCTAGTCCAGTAGTTCTCAAAAGTTGTGCCAGCACCACACATCCAAACTCTACTCCATCACCCTGCCCGCAACTACATCTATTGCCACCACACAACCATACTAAGTACAGAGAAAGAAGAGGAGAAAGGGATGGGAGAGGGGACTCAGAGGCAGAGGAATCCCAAGACCTGCCTTATGGATATAGAGGTTCTCCAAATCCTTCTTTGTTGCCAAATTCAATATTCAATGTGCTGTGATTCCCCAGGTAAAAAAAACAATATTGTGCTGTGAGTAAAAAAATTTGAGAATGATTACTCTACCAAATAGGATATTTTCCTCTGTGGATGATTTAATGTATTTGACAACAGGCATCTGAATGAAGATATCCATAACCGAAAAAGACATCTTTGAAAATTGGTGGACACAAAAGGGTTCTGCTCTAGAAAAGTTAATGTAACTACCTACCACCTTCAGAAAATAATTTTGTTTCCATTTATTTGCCTCTGTATATAACAACGTCTGTTTCCTGCCAATCCAGGTCTCTCATTCTTCAGATTAAGCTCAAAACTCACTACCTTATTTGCTCCATTCTTACCATTTCCATACACATCCCTTCGCCTACTGCTTCAGTCACCAAATAATAAAAGCGTGCTTTATGCTGGGCACTGAAAGTATTGCCAGGAAGTGCAAGACATGGTACTGATCTCTAAAACTTCAACAATCCAGGTAAGGAGTTAAGATGTAAACAGTAACATTGAAACGACTGCAGAAGTCAGACTGCTGGTTCATTCTGTCCAGCATTCTGTTACCATTCTATTCCCTAAAGGAAGTGCTGTTGGATGTAGAATTCTAATCTTTCACATGATCCTTGAAAATTGAAGAATACTCCAACTTCTCTTTTATGGCTATACCATTCAAAATTTCCCCAAGTCTTTTTAAAATTTATTTATATGTTCTGCCTGCATCACTCCGTTCCTTTAAGGAGTTCCATGGGCTAGACACCTACTCAGAAATTATCTCTTTTTTTATTTGCCTTAAAATTACCTTAATCAAGTTTCAAAGGGTAGCCTCTCCACCCTAAGATTTCAGGAAGTGAATAAATGCATGCTTATCTAAGTTCAAATAATAAGTTCCTTGTGAGCAGGATTTATTTCATTTTTTTTAATCATTTTTCTAAAAAATATATTCAAGTGCAAAAAATATATTTAAACTTCAAGGGATTTTTTAGAAATGGATTTGGGCTTTACTGCTATACTGATTATAAAGATAAAAAGAAAGCATACTGGACATTTATATTACCTGTTTCAATTTTCACAATAGCTAAGATACCTTTAAATAGTTAAGAAATATACATTAATTACCAGTATAATCATCAAAGTTGACTCTTCCTCTCATTGTGTTAACAACAGATTCCGGCTGCTCAAAAATTTCCTTCTGCATAAATGAACTGAAGTTGCCTATAATCAAAGCAAATTATAATATCATGAGACAATCTGGAAATCAATATATTAAGTAAAGCAAAAAGTAGGAAGCTTCATACAACATATCATTATTACATTAAGGGAACTAGATTTTGGTTGGATTTTTGAAAATTGCCAAAATTTCACTAAAATTTCTAAGTATGAGAAGTGAGGTCAAGAGAAGGGAACAAGTAACAATGGGGCAAAATATTTAATTGCAAGAATCTAAAGAATTAACACAATTTTAACCTCATGTAAAAATTCTGGATGAAAGACAAACAAATGAGGTAGAGGACATATTATTTTCATTAAAAGATACAGCAAAGAGATGTATTTGATAGTTACTTGTTATTTCAAAAAATCACTTGCCTCTGCATATAAGCAGTATGAAAATTAATCAGTAAAAGACTTTTTGTATAACTTTTCTTTAATTTTTAGCTTGGTTTTTGTGTGTAAACAGATGAACATCTCTAGTTCATTCTAAAAGTATTTAGCCAAAAAATAAGACTAGCAGCTAGTATTTATATAGCACTCCAAGTATTTTAAGTAGTATTTAAATAAAGTATTTTACAAATATTATCTCACAACAACCCTGGGAGGCTGGTGATATTATTATCTTCATTTCACAGATGAGGAAATTGAGGCATTTAGAAAGTTAACTGTCTTGTCCAGGGTCACACAACTAATGAGTTATCTAAGGGCACATCTGAACTCAGGTCTTCCTGGCTCCACATCATCCAACACTATCCACTGTACTACCTAGCTGCCTCTATAATAAATATTAGAGTTAACCAACAAACCTGAAAAAAAGACCAACAAAAATTTTCCACTGATAAAAGTTCAATGAAATTCATTTTAGGTGCTTATAAAAAATGAATATAGCTATGATCTTACGATTTCAAAGCACTGATATGATCACTGCTATTATTACAGGCTACAGACTCCCCTCACTTTATGCTCCATGGGAGACAACCAATTCAAATGAAAATTATGCTACATCCCAAATATGAACTTATCACAGTCCATCAAAGATGAAGAAAGCTAAATGCTGGTTTTTAATTAGCTATCTATGCAATTTTGAGAAAATCAGTTGCTTCCTTACATTCCATTTCTGTTACATGACTACATATGTATAGGCAGTCCTTAACATTTGAACTCCCAACTTACAAATGACCCCTATGTACTTGTGAAGTGACTTCTAAAACAGAATTCTGCTCTGCTGAAAGCTCATGACAGCCTGAATTTGTTTTACCCCCAAAAGTACTGAGTGCTCCTATCACACATTCTGTTCCCATTGCTGGGGCCATGGTGGAAGAGAATGTGATATAGAATCTCTGGTTCTTGCCACCAAAAGAAAGTAATATAAGTCTCTGATTTTCCAAAAACAAAAAAAAGAAAAGAAAAAAAGGAAACAGAGTCTGCAAACTATAGACTGGAGAGCTTGACTCCAATTCCCAGTAAAATTCTAGATAAGGTCATCAAAGAAATGGTTGGCAAAAATCTAGAAAAGGAAGCAGTGATTGCAAAGAGCCAACATAGCTTTAGTAAGAATAGGTTAGACCAGATTAAATTCAATTTATTTTAGGAGAAGATGAAAAGATACAAGTTATAAGAAAATACAGGGGCAGCTAGGTGGCGCAGTGGATAGAGCTCCAGCCTTGGAGTCAGGAGGACCTGAGTTCAAATCTGGCCTCAGACACTTGACACTTACTAGCTGTGTGACCCTGGGCAAGCCACTCAATCCCAACTGCCTCACCCAAAAAGAAAAAAAAAAAAAAAACTAGAAAATAGAATCGGAGAGATTCACAACTAGCTGGATACACTTGAACCTGTGCTATTTAACATTTTTATCAGTGGTGTGGATAAAGGCAGACATGCACATCATATTTGCAGATGACACAAAGCTAGAAGAATCTGTTAACCAACTGGATTACAGAGTCAAGATCTAAAAAGACCTTGGCAGAGTTGAACACTGGGCTAAATCTAATAAAATTAAATTCAATAGGAATAAATGTAAAGTCTTGTGCTTGGGTACTAAAAGTCATTTTCACATCTATGAGATGGAGGAAGCATAGATATATAGAGATTGTTATAAAGAAGATCTGAGGGCTTCAGTGGACTGCAACTTCAATACAAATCAATAGTGTAATGTAGCAGTGAAAAAAGGAATGATCTTCGGATTCATTTAGAAAAGCACAGTTTCTAGAAACAGGAAGGCAAGAGTCCCACTGTACTCTGCCCTTGTCAGATCTTTTCTGGAGTACTGTGTTCAGTTCTGAGTACCATGGTTTAAGTGACTTGATAAGCTAGAGAATATCGCAAAGATGAGCAACCAGGGTGGTGAGGGAACTTTGATCCATGGCATGTGAGGATCAGCTGAAGGAGCTGCGTGTTTTTAGCCTGCAGAAAAGAATATTCAGGGAAAGCCTGATAGCTCTCAAGAATCAGAAGAGCTTTCATCATGTGGAAGGGTAAATAAATAGAATTATTTCTGCTCATCTGCAGAGGGCAAATAGGAATAATGGGTGGAAATTGCAATCAGGCAAATCTAAGCTTGGTGTCAAGAAAAACTTCTCAACAATAAGAACTATCCAAAAGTGGAAAAGATCCAAAAGTGCTTCAGGAGGCGGCAGATAGAAGTCCTCAAGCAGAAAGCTGGACAAACACTTGTCTAGTATAATATAATGGGGAGTTCTTTTGTCTGTGGCCTGGAATAGATAACTGCTAAGATCTCTTCCAAATCTCAAAAAAATACGTGATTCCTGTCACCAAGACTGGAACACATTTTCCCATAGAAACAGCATTATACATAGTTGTTGAGTTCTACAGCAATGAAATACAGATAAGAAGATATAAAAAAGGTTAAGTAAACTTATATATGACATAATACATTAGAATCAATCTACTCAATTTAACTAAAAGTATTTTAATTCCCCATAGATCTTGGAAATCTAACCCTTATGTATAACACTGTTTCAATGCTAAGATGCATTTCTACCCCTATCAAATGACTGATAAATGCGCTCATACAATATAACTCATTGGTAAATTGGTGACTGACAGTACACATTTAGGAAATGTTCTACTTTTCACTAAGGATATAATGAAACAAAACGCCTTACCCTTCATGATCTGTTGTAGTTCCATCTGTAATGTCTGCACAGCTCGGCCAGGGTGATCTCCTGCTGTACGTTTAATTCGGTGAATAGAAAGACGACCATCCACCGCAGCTGCCACATCATCATCTTCAAGAAAGATCACACGGTTGGTGTGTTCTATGACAGCACTAGAAAGATGTTAGGGAATTGGGATGGAAAGATTAGCTATACAGCAAATGAGCTTTCCTTCAGGAAACAAAAACCAAATACAGACTACACCATACTTTCTATACAAAGAAGTTAGTTGCTCATTCAACAAATATTGATTGAGCATCCACAATATACATAAAGAGTTGTTGGGATCTAATAGTAATATCCAATTTCCCTATGTAGTTCTCTAAATTTTGAGGTCATAACTCTTATTTCTCAAAGTAAGATTATAAATTCCTTGACAGAAAGGTGAAAATTACAAGGAAACAAATTTCACCTCCATATAAGGGAAAGTTTTTAATAATTAAGAGCTGCCCAAACATGGAAGTGAATGTCTTTAGACACAGTCAGTTCTCCAACACTGCTGAGGTTTAAGCAGTGGTTAAATGATCATTTGTCTGATTTGCTACACAGGTTCCTGATTCAAGTGTAGATTGTACTAGATGTCTTTTAGGTTTCTTTCAACTTTTGATTCTGAGATTTGATACTCTCATATTCTTTTCCACCACAGATATGAAATAAAAAGGTACACTTCCACTTTTCTAACGATGTACACTAATAGTAGATCCACCACATTTAGCCTTTACCACTTTCATACCTGATGTTCTATGTGAGGAAATGTTAATGGCACTTACAATGAAGTTGGGAAAAACCAACTGCACATCCAAAAGAAAGTCATGCTAGGAGCCCAAATTTTAAAGGTATTCAGAGATCAATTCTCCAGAAATCTCCAAGAGGAATGATTCCAAAGAAAAGGGGGAACAAAAGTCATAGTACTCCTACCCATCAAAAAGACATCAGAATTACTGACCAATATGCTTCTTTTTTCATCTCTATCAAACCTTCCTAAGATTAAAACGGTAAGACTTTCACAATTTTCTGTAATAGACCACATTTTCACAATTCCAGAACTGGTAGGAAAAAAGGTAGTACAAATGTAAGATCCCACTCCATTCACTAGTTATTGATTTTTGAGAAAGCATTTGACTCAGCAGAACAAAATGTAACTGAGAAGGAAAAACAAATTGTTCCCAATACATACACACACACACACACACACACACGCGCGCGCACGCGCGCGCATTAAAATCACATGAGTATGGCAGATAAGACCACAAAGAACAACTTGAACAAACCACGAGGAAATGACATTAAAATGTTAAAACAGAGAAATTAATTTACCTAAATATTTTACCAGGCTTTTTAAATGTCCTGAGTAAAGTTCAAAAACATGAAGGATTTCCTATAGATGGTAAAATTCTCTAATATTTCTTATTCAAAGAAAAAGATACTGCACTAATTACATCAAGCGTCAAATATAAACAGGTCTTCTCTATAATAGGCACAGCAATGTGAAAGACACTGGTGAAAACATTCTTACCAAGAAATAACTTAGTGGATGAAAAATTAATATTTCCCAGATTACGACATACAACCAGACAGGCAACTTATCAAACTGTTCCATTAATAAATCCATCTTAGACAAGCACCAAAGACACACAGTGAGGTATGCTCGAAACTGAATGCAAAGAGGAAGGGGATATGCCAGATTATATTTCCGTAACTGTGCAGTGCTTTAAATGATTCCAAATTGCTTGTTACTATAAAAGCCCCATCTTTTGACTTGAATAATGTCCTAGATCCTATGTACCTATAAATCAGAGAACACAATCTTTTAAAAATTAAGATTATAAACAGCCCAATGAGCAAGAGAAAGTAGCATGATGAGTATGTATGCAAGCTATATTATAACCTATTACCACAAAAAACTACATGTAAGAAGTAGTATAAAAGGCATTACACCAAGAACATCTATGATTAGAAAAGGAGACAGACTAGCTATGACTTCCAAGTTTTAAGCCAGAATGACCAGGAGGATGGTTATGCTGTCAACCCAATACAGGCACTTAGGAAGAAGGTCAGATTTAGGAGTGTTTGATATCTAAAAACTGTTTTAGACATGTTGAGCATGATATAAGGTAGGGCTAAATGTTCAACAAGCAATTAGAGATTTGGAACTAAAAGCTCAAAAAGAAGAATGGAAATCTGCATATACAGATTTGGGATTATTAGTAGAAGATGAAAACTACACCCATAAGTGAAAGATAAGCTTGCCAAAGGGAAAAAATATAGAGAGAAGAGGATCAAGAAGAGTAGATTTCCAGCAAATGATGTGACTTTCCTAAGGCATTAGGTTTGTTTTTTTTTTGAATTTTTTTTTTCCAAAAAAAGTAGAAGCTTACCTTGCATCAGAAGCAAAGTAATATTCAACAGCTTTTTCTTCAACAGGAAAAAGGCAAGTAGTACTGTCCACACGAGAGAGGCTACAACTTCCTTTCTTGTCTTTGCCTGGGATAGTATTAACAGACATCATCTCACACACTTCAAGAAATACAATTAAATATAATCTTCAAGCACAACCCTTATATCTCTACCAACATGAAGCAATTTCAGCATTGTCTCAGCAGATATCACTTGAAAGGCAATAAAGGAAGACCTCCATGGACTGTAGCACTAGCCACCTTATTTCCTATGTCACTGGGTCATCAAAATAAAGGATAGGAGGGCATACATGGTCTAATAAAATTTATCAAACTGTAAATAATTCTCAATAGTTGTGTCACCTTTTAAAAATTTTAGATATTTCAATTACAAATTCAGCATCACTAAGGTGCTGCTTTGTTTTTCAGGGTTTTTTGCCAAAGGCATGCTTATGTTTTCACTCCAATTTTTCACACTTAACAAAAATTTAAGTTTTTGTATTGAATAAATCAGAATGTTTCCATGAAAAGACAAAAACAAGCAATAATATTCTTTTCAATTATCTCCTAAAAAAACCCAATTTGTGGAAAGTTTAACAGAAAATCATCATCACAAGTCAAATTTTATGATATGCTTGTTGTACACAGAGGCTCTAAAAATAATAAGCAATAGAGATGAAAGAAAAGGGTTTTCCCTATTTGTAAGGAGAAAAAAGGCAAAGAAATCAAGAAAACACCAATTACGTTAGTGCTAATTTCTAATAACAGCCAATCAAATCAAAACATTGTTCTTTTTTCTGCAAAATAAACACCTTCAACCATTTGGAAGACAGACCAAAATATTGATAATTATTTTATATGAAAATGTAATATACTTAGTGGGTGTATATGTATGTATGTATGTATGTATGTATATATATATGTATACATATATATATATTCAACGAGAATATATGTATACAGGTGTATATGAGACAGGCAATTTTAAATATGTAAAGTCCCATAATCAAATAATCATGGCTTATAATCAAAATGGACTTCATGTTGGTTTTTTGCCACCAATGTATGCCCCACCTTCATTTATTTTGATAATGTAATTATGAAACTTGGGGATGAAGAAGAAATGACCAGAAGACATTAAGAGTTAATTTTTCAAACAATTTTTCAGCTAAAGTACCCAACTCTTGATTAAAGCATGCATGTAGATTTCTTTTCCAGTTCTTAAGCCTGCATGCCACATCTTTACTGTGTAAATATGGTTTTCTACAGGTTCAATTTATTCTTCAAGTTTGTATAAGTTAACACAACTGTGCTTTGCTCCTTCATTCATTCAACAACCATTTATTGAACAGCTTGTGAGGGCAAACTAAGGAGCTCTCTTTATTCTTCAGGCTCTTTGTTTGTCAAGTTAATTTAGTGATTTAAACTTCTAGCACCACTTGTGCAAAGATTACAAATCTGGGATATATTTTTAAATTACTTACACAATTTCTAAAAGTATGAATTTCTTTTCATGACAGAACTTTCTAAAATTCAGTAACATTTCAGCAGAACAATGACAAGACAGGCCAAGGACTAGGATTATCTTAAACCCAAAGTCTTCCCTACTTTCAGTTATTCAGCTACAAAATTGCATCTTTCAGTACTTTAGTCACTATAAGAAACTCTCCTTTAGTCAGACATCTCAATTATCTTTAGAAAACAAAATCAGTTGCACAGCTAAGCCACATCTCTCTTCAAAAGCTAATGAAATAAAGGCCCTATCATTTCCGGACAGGAGGGTCTCTTTTTCACTTTGTTTCTTGTATTGTCTTTATATTTAGAACTAGATGAGTTTGACCTTTTACACATAAAGAAACTGAAGCCCACAAGGGGAAAAGACTTGCTGAATAAACACAGCTAATAGGTGGAAGAGCTGGAAATCAAACAAAGGTCCTCTCAATTCCAAATCCAGGGTCCTTTCTACTCTACCAGACTTCCTATTCCTAGCACTCAGCACAGAGCCTGGCACACAGTAAGTGTTTAATAAATACTTTTTTAAATTCATTCCTCTCAATGAAACCTCAACAGTTCTCCTTTGTTCACTCCAACTAAAGTAAAGAATTACAGAAAAATTGAAAACTTTACTAAAAAGTTTTGGATAAATTATCACAATCTAAAAAAGAAAGGATGGAACAGTATAAATCTCACTAAATCTAAATAAACAGTCCATGAGCAACATATAAAATTCATTCGGTGAAATGGGTATTTTTTTCTATGGGCCCATGGGATAAGAAGACAGTAATAGATCTCTATTCAAACTACAGGGTTGAACCTTCATGTCCCAGCTCTGCACTGACTCAATGTATCTATAAAATTAGTACTTCTAATTCCTATTTTTTTCTCATTTATTAAATACATAGTATTTCTGCTTACTTCACAAAGTGGCTCTGATGATCAATGAGATCACTGGTGTAAAAGTGTCTTACAAGCTATAAGCCTACTTTATAAAGGCATTATTAGGATATATTCACATTATAACTTTCTGATAAAAACTACATTCAAAATAATTGCTACATGTAAATTTTTAATGGAAAAGTAGCCCAACATTCACAAAAGAAAACAAGGTAGTCTTTCCACCAAACATGTATGTAACATTTCAGAAATCTGGCAAAGTCTGTTTCCGAAGACACAGTTTCAGTACCTAGATATTTTTTTTAATATAACCTGATTTGTTAGTAAGAAATCTTTATCACACTGGTCTCACTATACTTCCTCTCCAAGTTTTGATTTTATTTTCTTCTAATAGCTATTTGTACTTGAGTGTTTAAAAAAAATCTCCAAAATGCATTACTAACCCATTTAGTTAACGAGGACATTACTTATGTGGTGCCTTTCTTCCAAATTTTCTTGAGCCTTACTAATATTCTTCCATTATTTCTAAAAATCCTACTAGAAAAAATATACAAGGCAATATATTCCACCTTTGGAACAACTGGTTAACAGACTTCACGGAAGCTCTAGTTTCAAGGTCTCTCTATTAACTAGAAGGCCCATGCTTAAAAGAGAAGAAAGTGATGTAGTCATAAAAAGCACTGGTCTTAGAAGACCAAGGTTCAAGTTTTGGATAAAGGATTTAGTAGCTATGTGACTGCACACCAATCAACTAGTACTTATTAAGCATCTACCATGCGCCAGGCACTGTGCTAAGCACTGGGCACTGTAAACTGTCCTCATCTATAAAATAAAAGTAATATTTGTCTTAGTTGACTTGTGTAGTTTTTGTAAGAGTACTTGTAGATCTTGAAGAAATAGAGAAATAATACAGTATTTAGTATAACATACCATTAATATAGTATATATACAATAATACAGTATGTCCTCCTGTGGGCATTCTAAGAAAAATTTAAATAAAGTTACTGATTGAAGTTACCGTGCCTTTTTTTTGGAGGGGGGGGCTAGGCAAAGGGGTTAAGTGACTTGCCCAGGTTCACAGAGCTAGTAAGTGTTATGTGTCTGAGGCAGCATTTGAACTCAGGTCCTCCTGAATCCTGGGCCGGTGCTCTATCCACTGCGCCACCTAGCTGCCCCGATGCTATTTTTTTAAAAAAGGTAACAAACTATTATCTATCAGACTGAACTAGGTATCAAATTTTAATATTTCTTAACTTCTTTAGTTGTAATGGATTTGCATTTTTTTAAAGAAAGTCATAATTACACATTAATGATGTGGCCCTCAATTTAGTTCTTGTTAAGTCCCCCTTCCTTTCCTCCTTGACAACAAATTTTAATATTAAAGTATATACACTATATATATATATATATATACACATATCAAGAAGGCACCTTTTTCCTGATTTATGGATATTACATCAATAGAATGATCCATAGTTTGTACAGCTGAAATTACAATGTGAAAAAAGACACTTAAGTGAATGGTAAAAAACTAAAATAGAAATAAAACTATCAAAAGTATCAGCTACAAATCTAAGAAACTGACATGCACAATAAAAATATCAATCAAGCTAATATATTCTAGAACAGCCACACTATTAACCCCCACTGAGGATGTATTTTTCTAAATAATGCAGCTTATATGAAAACAAATTATTTAAAATAAAATCCAGTGCATGTTAACAGAGAAAAATAAAATGGAATGCTTTATGACTACAATTTCAGAAATTTTCTTAGTATTCATATATTTCCATTTTTGTTAATAAACAAATTAAAAGTAGTCACCTAAAAGTCAAATTCAAGCAAGCCAAATGCAAACTGCAAATTAGAAATGATAAAAAAAAAGCATCCTAAAAAGTAAGAGCACATTTAGAGGCCCAGGGCATTCACTCCAACAGCAGGGAATTAATGGGAAATCAACCAAAGAGAGGCTCAAGATCCCTCTCTGTCCATGCAATCAAAGGGCACGCTTCCCACCTCTGTTTCCCTGTGATCCCCATTGTGTGAGGGTTGATCCAATCTGAACCCTAGCTAAAAGAGTACACAACAGGAAAAAAACTACTAGTCATCAAAATCATAAAAAACAAAAGTTCGTTTCAAAATGTTACCTAGACAGAATTATTAACAAATACAGTTAAAGAAATGCTTCCTTATACAAGAAAAAAAAAAAGAAGTCCCACATCTCCTACACTGCTGTATAAGGTTTCCTTCACAGCAGAAGGTTGTAGAAAGAATTCATACCTGTTCTATACAGTATTGGAATATGGTCCGTGGACAGCTTATGCTCACTTCGTACTCCAATCAGGAGGGGGCTTCCTCGCCTGCAAGTACAATGGTGCTAAGGATAAGACCAGTGTATTGCAGTACTATGGACTTGTGGGAAAAGAGTTCAAAATGCTATAGAGTCAAATTTTTCCTCCAAAGTCCACGCCAACACTAATAACTGAACTCTTCAAAAAAGAAGCAACTGGATAGAATATGGTTTTACTAGTACTCTGGAAAGAAATCCACATTTGCAGAGGAACAGAAAAAGAGGACTCTATGATCAGGAACTTAGAACTGTCTAACCAGTCAATTTGGAAAAGCAGAGTGAAAAGTACTATTTCTAGCTTAATGAGTACAATTTAGCCATGATCTAGACTGCCCCTCAATTTCTAACTATGTACCTTCTGACTAATTATATATTCTTCATTGTCATTTATTTTAGGTAAATCCAGTAAGAAAATCTAGGTCTATAAAAATAATGGGATAATGACACGCTTCACAAAAAGTATCCCTTAAATAACAGGCAACTATCACTTTTTAAATAATTCAGTGTAGATAAAATTCATAAAGAATACGTCATGTATAAAATGATTCAAGTCTTATAGAATATGCAGAACAATCTCAATATTTTCCTTAGCACACAAAAGCCCTGTATCAAATTCTAAATAATCAAATGAAAAAATTCTAAACTTTTAACATCTCAAGGAGGCATTCCTATATATCTAACATTATAAAAAAGAAAAGGGACCAAAAAACTATTCAATACTAAGCATAGATATTTGTCTTTTCCACTACTAAACTTTTACCTCTGCAAAAGGGCAGCCAAGCTGCTCAAACATAGTCTCTTTTCCTTGGTGTGAAATTCAGTTTCAAATTCAGTATCTTGGGCTTTCTGATTTTGGAAAATAGGTGAAAGTAACTGCTTATCTTCTTCACAAAGGTAAGGAATCATAAGCATGGAATACAGGATACATTCACAAATGTGCTGCTTAGTTTTACTAAATTGTTTTCCTCTTTGTTCTATTCTTGGTCATAAGAAAGGGCTCTCTGGGTAGGGGAAGGGTAGGGACAAATTAAGAAATGAAGGTGAAGCAAAAAGCTAGAAATAGCCATTTAAAAATGTATAAAAGTAAAAGCTCTTCTCTGATTCCAACCCCGGGGGGGGGGGGGGGGTCAGAGTTTAGATGATAATAATAAATAAGGTTTTTTTTCAAATTTAAAAAAAAAACATAGTCAGGGAAATCACCAAATGGTACAAAGAAAAATTCCAAGAAATAATAAAATTATTAAATAGCAAACGTATCAGTACCTTGTACCTACTGCTTGTCCAGGATAATGCACACTTTTAAACACAAGTGCAAAGGCACCTTCCTAAGAGAAAAACAAGAATGTTTGCTTACCATATTTTACATGACCAAATATTGAATCTGAAACTATCAATCAAACAATAAGTATTTACTGAATGTTTACTAGGTGCCAAACACTGCACTAAGTGCCGGGAATACAAAGAAAACACAAATTCATTCCTGTCCTCAAGGAGTTTGCATTCATAAGGGAGACAGCATAAGCTAGGTAAATGTAAGGCAACCTTAGGGGAGGCCTTAGCATCTGATAGCCCTTGAAAAGGCCTCCTATAGGAAATGGAACTTAACCTGAGTCTTAAAGAAAGTAAAGAATGCTAAGTGATGGCAAGAGGGCATTCCAGGCTTTGGGGTCAGCCAGGACAGTCAGGAGGACCATGTACAAAGAACAGCAAATAGGATAATGTGGTTGCATGCAAAAGCACATAAAAGAGTAATGTTTTAGAAGACTGGAAGGAAAATGGAAGCCATTAGAGTTTACTGACTGGGGAGATGACACGGTCAGAAGTAGGCTTTAGAAAAATCATTTTGGTAGCGAAATGGAAGATGAAGTGGGGAGGCCTGAGACACAGAGTACAATTAAAAGACTACTGGAAAAAAAAAAAAAAAAGATTGCTACAGTGGTCCACAAAAGAAGTGATGAGGGCCTGAATTAAGGAAGTGGTTTTGTAAGGGTACATAATCACTGACTTCAAATATTTAAAAGGTCATGTAAATAAGGCATTAGTTTCCCCCAAGGGGAAAACAAGAATCAATGGGGTGCAGGGAGATTAATTATAATTCAATGTAAGGGAGAACCATCTAACAATGAAATCTGTCCAAAAATGGAATGGACTGCATGGTGGGGGGAGTTAAGTTCCCAACGCTAGATGCTTTCAGGAAGAAGCTAATCACTTGTCAGGGATATTTTAAGAAGGACTCATGTTTCAGACAGGAGTTGAATTAGACAACTTCCAATGTCCCTTCCAAGTCTAAGCTTCCATGGTTCTACACTGTCATTTGTATGTTTTGGTTATTATATATAAAGTGCAACAGAAGCAGAAAAAAAGAAAAAAAAAAATCAAGAAAAAAAATCATTCCTTTTTAACAAATAAAAAAACAGTACTGGTATATCACCAGTGATTTCCATCACAATAAGTTCTGACAAAATATTCACTTTAAAATTAAATATTATTTTAAATACCAGTTGTTGGATTACTCTCTCCACCAGTGTTGTGAAACTGATATCATCACTTTCTCGGTTGTCATACATGTATTTAACAAGTTTAGCAATTGACTCCGTGTCCGTTTCAGATTCAAAATCATAACCTTTGCTTTCCTGTTAAGAAAAAAAAATTAAGAAACAGTTTTCCTTTTCCAAATCTTTCTCTGTATTTTCCCAAAACTTCATCAAGTCTCTTCCTAACATTTTTTTCTGACATCTATCATCTTACTCTACAGTTTAGTGAAAAGGAGTACACATTCTAATTCCACAGTAATACCAATATTTAAAGTATTCTGATTAACATTTTGGATGGAAAATTTTTCTCATACACATACATCTAGATCATCAAGTTTCAAAGAACTAACTAGACAAAAATAAATCCCATTAACAGCTAAATAACAAAAGTTAGAATTTATATAGTACTGTAAAGTTTTCAAGGAGTTGTATATGTTATCTCATTTAATCGTCACAATAACCCTCAGAAATAGATGCTATTTAGTATCCCAATTTTATGGATGAGAATACTGAGGCAGACAGAAATTAAGTGAGAATTGTCTAGAGTCAAACAATTGCTAAGTGTATATGGCTGAATTTGAACTCAGGTCTTCCTGCCTCTGGGTCTAGAACTTTATCCAATGTGCCACCTAGATGCCTCTTACAGCATTAAAGTAGCTGTCTATTGAATGCTTAATCCATATTGAACATAACAATGTTTCCTTGATGACTTGGGAGTTTTTTCAAAGTTGGACAGTGCTCTCAGGTTCCTCTTAAGATTATCATTAAAAAGTACCAAAAGGTAAAAGATTTGGCTTTTGCTGTACTGATCAGAAGATATCTAAGAACAGTTCTTTTTAATCCATACTATACTTTGGGTACTGGAAGACAGAAAGAGGTAGAGACACAACACAGGAAGAAGGAGTTGTCCATTTTTTAAAGTTGATGTTTAAATAAGTAAGGAACTTAGGAAATAAAAGTCTTGTAGTGAGGCAAAAATTTGCTGCTGGCCTGTAACAGTCCATAGATTGATAATTGGGAAATAATACTCTACAGTTGCTTTTTTGAATAAATCTCTAATATTAGAAATAAACAGGAGATAAAGCAACTTATTTTTTTTTAAATAAAATCAGTTAAAAATAAAATAAAATCAGTTCACAGTGGGCCTGACTTCAAATCCTGCTTCAGACACATTAACACTCACTAGAGGCAGCTAGGTGGTGCAGTGGATAGAGCACTGGCCCTAGAGTCAGGAGGACATGATGTTCAAACCTGGGCTCAGACACATAACACTCACTAGCCATGTGACTCTGGGCAAGTCCCTTAAACCCAACTGCATCATCAAAATAAATAAATAAAATGAAATCAGCTATCTGAGTTAAGCTTTTGGTTGTTTTACATTCCAGATAAATGTCATTTCCATTGCAAACAAGAATTGCAGAACTGTTTTCCCTTTATTTGAAAATACCAAATTACGGTGATTTACAATATACCTGACATGTTTATTAGGGCTCACTTTGTTATCCCTAGGTAATATATTAAATACTTCAAGGTGGTTTCAGAAAAGTAGAATTGACAAAGACAACAATCTCTGTTTGCCTTATTAGAGACTAACTTCAAAAGTACCGACGCTCAAAAAGATTTATCTCATTAAGTGACCAACCTTCTGATACATTTCCAAATTTATCTACACCAATTCTCAAGTAAGACATGAAACCTACCATGTAGCCTAACAGACAACTTCTCACTCTTCTTTATATTATATATGGATTCTTTTATAATTAGAGACTTGAGGTCTTATTTAGGTCCTTTTGCTTACCAGAAACTTTCTCAAATCTTTGTAGTTGGTGATGATCCCATTGTGAATTACAATAAATTCTAAAGAAAAGAAAAATATGTATTGACAATACATACTACATAAAGGCCTAATGAACACAAGAATATAATAATTCAATCAAAAGTTTTATAAACAGATTACTGCTTATTTGTGGAATATCTTGGTTTTCAGCTTACTAATATACCATCTTTCTTTATTCTTGTTTCTGCAAATACAACGTATACAGGGAAGCTTTTTGAAACCAAAACATTTAAATTCTTCATTTCTGGGGAGGATGTGAATCAAATATAAGATATTTTGAGAAAAATAAGGCAATCTGACTCAGACTCGTATTGTGCAAGTTTGCCAGATGATCCATTCATAGAATGGAACTGGAAAGTGAAGAGACAACACAGAGAAAATTATCATGGTTCAATTAATTCATCTTAAGCAATGACTCTAGATCAGAGAAACTTACCTTTAAACATATCCACAAAGGTATATTCCAAAACCAAAAATAAAATAATCAACATATGATAATGTCTTTTTAAAAGTAGTGATGTAACTAATTCAAAGAGCAGATAATCAAGTCAACTGTAAAATTATTTTTGTCCATGTATATAATGCAAACTATATTTCCAATGCTAACTTATTAAGTGATTTTTGATCCAGGAAGAAAAAGCTATTTGGGTTAAGTGATTAAAATGGACTAATAAAATGTATAGATCAACTTATTTTATTTACTTCTTGTTCCCAAAAAAGTTGTTTAAATTAAATTGCATTAAAAACCATGAAAAAATATTTTTGCTATAAAAAAGGAGAGGATATTAACTCAAATAATGTATATTTCAAAGTAAAGCAAAAATAAAGAACAGTTTTTTTTTTATTAAAAAATACATAATTGGGGGCAGTTAGGTGGCGAAGTGGATAGAACATCGGCCTTGGAGTCAGGAGGACCCAAGTTCAAATCCAACCTCAGACACATAACACTTACTAGCTGTGTGACCCTGGGCAAGTCACTTAACCCCACTGCCTAGCTCCCTCCCCCAAAAAGAAATACATAATCATATCAGATTTTAAAATGTTTTGGGAAGTAGGGAGAATCTGTCAAACTACAGGGTGTTCCTAAAGTCCTTGTACGGTTTTATGCTTTAGTAATTTCAGAGGTATAAATGCTACAAACTTACCTCCTCAAAAAAAAACAAAAAAACCATCTCCCTTTGAAGATGGCAAATACTGAAAAAAATCACCTGCATTCTCTAGCTAACTAGCTAAGCTTAAGTCTATAACAGCATTAAGAAAATTAGCTTCCCATTATAAAGAGGCTCCCCATAGAAATTTAATTGATAACTGTTTAACAAGAGAAGAGACTATCACTGAAATTCAGAATGCATTGGAACAGAACCCCAAAGATCAGTGAGCCCTATGTCTGCTGAACTGAACATTCCAAAAAATACAGTACACAGAATCCTAAGTGTAATTTCTTAAGCATGCTTACAAGGTTACAGTTGTTCAAATGGTACAAGAAGATTGCTATGTTAGGTCAGACTTCTGTCAACTGATAAAGGTCAAAAACTGGAAACTCTAATGATGTTCTTGACAAGTTGACCTTTTCTGACAGAAGAAATTTTCCACAAAGTAGAAAAGTTAACCATCACAACTGCCCCATCTGGCATATAAAAAAGCCTCAACAAGTCAAGTAACATAAAAGACTCTCCAGAAGTTAATGTTTGGTGCACCACTAAGAGGTACTGCATTACGGCCCTTTCTTTTTCAAATATACAGTCAATGGCAAACTGTTTTATTCCCAAACTGCAGAGGTTACATTTATTAAATAACACTATTTTTCAACAAGACAGAGCGCTCTGTCATTATGAATTGCCTTGCAACATTTCTGGATGACTGTAGTTTGGTAGAAGACATCTACTTCAGTCACCTGATCTATCTCCAATAGGGCTTTTTCTTGGAGACCCTTGTCAAAACTGTCTTGTTTGCATCAAAATCTTGTTCTTGAATGATCTTAAGGCTAGAGAATTACAAATGCAATCCTTTTAATCACTGAGCAGCAGCTGATGAAAGTTTTTACAAAGTTCAAAAATCTAGGGGCAGCTAGGTGGTGCAGTGGATAGAGCACTGGCCCTGAAGTCAGGAGGACCTGAATTCAAATCTGACCTCAGACCAAACACTTGACACTCACTAACTGTGTGACCCTGGGCAAGTCACTTAACCCCAATTGCCTAAAATAAAAAAAAAATCTACTAGAAAAATGTGTAACACAAAGAGGGTTGTTATGTTTAACTTTAATAAGAAATGCCAATATTTTAAAATTTAAATAATTAACCTTTCAAATCTTGTTTTTGTAAGTAAAAAACTGCACTAAACCTTTTGGAACATCTTGAATAGATCCAATTATAAATAGTGAGCTTCTGAAATGAAAATTTTTGGTATGATAGTTAAAATTCTAAGCCAATTTTCTCTGAAATACAATTTCCAAGTGGAATTTAAGTGTCTCAGCACCATACCGAAAAAAATAATAAAACCTATGGTTCACATCTTGTCTTCTACCATTTATCCTGTTGCATCTAATCTGCACATACCATTGTTTTTATCAGAGCGCTGTGGATGGCTATTAACTGGATTAGGTTCCCCATGGGTGGCCCAACGGGTATGAGCTATTCCAAGATGTACATCAAATTCTATATCCAAGTCCATATCCTGTTGTTCTGAAAAAGATATAATGGAAAATTGTAATCTTAAATCATGGAATATAGATGTCAAAAAATAATAAACATAAGTACTAAAATATTATTAGACTGTAATGAACAATTAAACAAAATATCTTGTTCAAAAATACTTAACACTTAAAGAGTTAATATAGTTCCCCAACTGATCAATGGTCAACAGATATTAACAGCTCTGAAGGGAATAAATCCAAAATCTCTACAGTCATATGAAAAAAGTCTCCAAATAACTAAAAACAAGAGAAATGCAAATTAAGGCAAGCTTAAGGTTCCACCTCACACCCATAGGATTGGTAAAGTTGACAAAAAAAAAGGAAAAGAACAAATGCTGGAGAAGCTGCAGGGAAACAAGCCCATTGAGGCACTGATGGGAGAACAGTGAACTGGTCAAGTCATTCTATACAGCGATTTGTGAATAGATCCGAAAAGTTATTCAACTGTGCATACCCTTTGACCCAGCAAATCCCTTCTCTCTAATTACACAACTACCACACTAGTTCAAGCCTTCTTCACCTCTTGCCTAGATTATTACAACAGACTTATAGTTGGTCTCCCTGCCTCACATCTTTCCCCCCACTCTCACCCCCACCCCCACTTTAGTCTATTTCTCTGCCAAAGGAATTTTCCTCAAGCACAGATATGACTATGGCACTTCCTACACTCAATAAACTCCAATGGCTTCCTACTTGCCTGCAGGATGAAACATAAACTCCTCTGTTAGGCTTTAAAAACACTCCACAATCTGGCCCCAACCTCTCTTCCTAGCCTTACTGGACACGACTCTTCCATCCAACTTTCTGAAATACAGTCAAATTGGCCTTTTTACATACGGTCCCTACGTGACACATTCCTTAAACTGGTTCCTTATATATAATCCTCCATCTCCCATCCTAGTGCCTTTGTACTGGCTATCCCACGTGCCTGAAATGAACTCACTCCTCATCTGACTCACAGCATCCCTGTTTATTCAAAATGCAGCTCATGGGGGCAGCTAGGTGGCACAGTGGATAGAGCACCAGCCCTGGAGTCAGGAGGACCTGAATTCAAATCCGGCCTCAGACACATAACATTTACTAGCTGTGTGACCCTGAGCAAGTCACTTAACCCCATTGCCTAGCCAAAAAAAAAAAAAAATGCAGCACATGCACCACCTTCTAAATGAAGCCTTTCCAGAAGCCTCACCCTCCTTCTCAAACTACTTCCTACTTAAATAACTATTTGTACTTTATTCTCTCTATATTCATTCTGAATATATATGTGTATGTACATATACAATACTTTATTCTCTATATTCATATTCTGTATAAACACATACATATATATACATATGCATAGACACCTAAATGCAGATACATATAATTACACACACACATATATATACATATATATACATACATATACATATATATACACATACACAATATATAATTAGAAATAGAAATATGTTTGCTGTTCCCCCATTAGAACATTAATACCTTGTAAAGATTGTTTCTTCACTAGATTCATATCCCCAGTGCCTAGCTTGTTGATTAAGTGATCCACTTAATCCAGCCCAAGCTAAATCATCCTCCACACTTTGTTGATGGCAACAGTCTTCTCCCAAACACGTCAGCTCTAAACCTTGGGAGTCATCACAGAATCACAGGATATGTGAAGACATGCTAGAAGTCATGCAGTTCCATCAAAATCTTTGACTCCTCTCAGTCACCAAGTCCTTTACTCTTTCTGTACAATCTCTCTTCCATTCATTTCCTCCTTGGCATTCCTACTGTCACTATCCTAATTCCATAACCTCTCACTAGGACTATCTTTCTAAAATATAGATGTTATTTCCAGTGACTTGCTCAAAACCCTTAATGGCTTATTACAACAAAGCAGGTAAATTCTATCTCTGAAGGTAACTAAAACAGTCAGAAACCTGACACCAAGGTAACTTTTCTAGCTTTATCTTTGATTATTTACCTACATTTAGAACCACAAAAATATCATAATTGGAAAGAACCTCAAAGATTAGCTAGGCTAACACATCCTGACTGAAACTTGCCTCTATGATAGCTCCAGTGGGTGATCATTCAGCCTCTATTTGATGAAAGGAAATCCACTACCCTCCTGAGGTGGCCTGGTTCACTTTTGTACAATTCCAATTATTAAGTTAACATAAAGAAAAACTTCCTAAATCTGCTCCTCTATATCTTTAATATATTGCTCCCTCTTATCAATTAAAAGCTGACAAAAATTTCAGGTAAACATGAAGAAAAGCAGTTTGAGGGAGTCCAAAATGAAACTTAGTACATTACTGTTAACTTCTTCATCCAGCGCCTTAACTTTCCCTTTCTTCTTAATAAGCTGGATTTTGCAGGCATTGGCTTCCCAGTCCTTGTCATTGCCTCCATCAACTCCCACTCCTAAACAATAAACAAAAAAAGGAGAAAAAAAAGGCTTACATAGTCAATTGCTCAGGAAATGACAGATGTGAAGGAAAAAAAAAATTAGGAAAATAAGTTTCTGTAGTTAGTTTGTTTTGTCCTTAGTTGAGGTTTTTTTTTTAATAGTGAAATTAAAATTACATGATTATCCCTTAAAAGATTAATTTTTATATAATTATGTATAACCACTAAAATTCTGTAAATAAATCCTTCTTAGCACTGTAAAAGAAAATTCCTCAATTATAAAATAATGATTGAAGATTTATTAATTTACCTGAGTCAAAGTTTATATTCAAGATGTATAAAAGATATTTTAGAATACTGCTAAAAAGAAAATATTAAATACCAGCAGAATCATATCCTCTATACTCCAGTCTCTGAAGTCCCTTGATGAGGGTCTCTAAGATCTCTCTCCTTGTCCGTGGAACATGGTAGTTCAGGTATGCAAATATACCTGAAAGGAAGGAGAATCAGCAAATAGGTATTATAACTAAGCAGGAGAAGCTAAATGTAGACATAATCAACTATACAATTCAGAATTCAATTAAACAAATGCTACACGCATTAAAAAAAAAGCTGAGATTTTCAAGAAACTCCTAGTTTCTGGTTTTCAGAAAAGCACTGTGGTGGCTGAATGAATGAAGAAGCATTTATGAAGCATTTATTATGGGCAAACACTGAGCTAAGTAATGGGGACTCAAACAGAAAAGTAAAATAGTTCTTATCCTCAAAGAACACATATTCTAACTGGGGAAGATAATATATGTAAAAGATTTCAGCTGCAGAGTGGATGGAAAGGTCAGAAAAGTCCTAAGGGTGCTGTATCAGGGTAGAAGGCAAGGCCCTGGGGTCTTTAGGGTAAATTAGCAATACGGCAAATGGTAAGGTTCAAAAGATATTAGGACTTCCAAAATTGGGAAGAAAGAGTAGGCCTGAGGTGTGAGTGGAAGATGGATTCTGCATTCCCTCTCAAAAGGAGGACAGAGGAGGTTATCAATGAACAGAATTAAAAGATAAGGGGGCACTGACAGGAAGGTTGAGGGAGAAGGGCAAATCATAATACTTACTCCATCAAGCTTTCTAGCACCTAGCTGTGTTCTGAAGAACTTGGAACAGGGAGAAGAGAAGGGATACTCCCACTGTGTGGAGACTGGATTGGAGTGGGGAAGTGATGAGGCAAGGAAGGTAAATAGGAGAATATGGCAATAGTTCAGGTAACAAGTGATAAGGGCTTAGATTAGGCTGCATGAATGAAGAGAAAGGGGACATATACAAGAGGTGTTTCTACAGAAGTAGAAATGGAAAGATGTGGCATGTGATTGAAAATTTAAGAGTGAGAATTTGAGGAACTGGGTGCAACTGAGATTACCAACAACCTGAAGAATTTCACACTGTGCTTAAAAAATCATCTGACCACAGACTGCCTTGAAAAAGTAGTAAGCTCCCTGTCACTGAGGGTCTTGAAGTAAAGGTTGAATGACCATCTATCATGTATCCCTCTGTAAAGGGAATTTATATTTCAAGTCTGGACTGGATTCAATGGCCAAAGAGGATCTTTCTAATCCTGAGATTACATGATTTTAATGAGCTTTGTTTCTCCACCAAAACTCAGTACATTCTTTGTACAAAGTAAGTACTAATAAAATGGAGACCTGATAAGGGGAAAAAAAGAAAAACATCTGACCAAAAAATTGATTTCCAAAAAGTACCTTAAGAATTAGGCTTTAGGGGCAGCTAGGTGGTGCAGTGGATAGAGCACTGGCCCTGGAGTCAAGAGGACCTGAGTTCATATCTGACCTGATACTTGACACTAGCTGTGTGACCCTGGGCAAGTCACTTAACTCTGATTGCCTCACTTAAAAAAAAAACAAAAAACAAAAAACAGAATTAGGTTTTAGTATTGAAACTGCCTTGAAAATAAAGTTCCTACAGCTCTGATCCTCCCCACCAAGGGATCACTAGTAGCCAAGGGATCCTTATAAATTTCAATAGCTCTGAAGGTACACAGGAAAGCCAAGTTAGAATTCAAAACACTGAATTTTTAATGAAGGGCTTTTAAGATCAAAAACTGTACCAGGAAGCAGGTAATGGAGGACTTCTAGGCAATGTCTGTCTGAATTGAGACTCTTTTATACACGTACCTCAGTAAAAACCTAAAAATAGCACTAGACCAAATAAGTAGTCTAATAAGAAACTATTTTAAGTGACTTCTTTACCTAAAAACTGAAGAAAAGTAAACCAGAAGCCCAAGGGCAATAGGAAAGAGGGCCTGACAGCAAAGCCAGTGCCAGCAAAGACAAACAAGACAGTATCCTCCCTGAGTAAATGGAAACCAGCCAGAGACAAATGAAATCTGTAAGGATCTGTATCCGGAGGCAGCAAGAATAGAGGATTCTGCAAGAAAGTCCCAGGGTAGTTAGAAATCCAAAGCTGGTACCTTGGAAATGAACAGGAACAATAGAAACTAGTCGAAGCATAGTAGCATTCAGACCAGGGTATCCTAGCACCAAAGTCTCTAAGATTCCTAGCACTCTGTCCTGAGACGACATGAAGGACTCTGAAAATCCAATGCTCTAAACCTCAAAGACTGGAGGTGGGAGGGGAAGGGAGAAAGTGTTATCTTCAGCAGAGGAACACAGATTATTCAGGGTGAGACCAAGAAAAGCTGAACATCCAACTCAAAAGCGAAGCAAGACAAGGAATCTAGTCCTGGCACACAACCCCAGTTAAGTAACTGGGGCTATTGAGATTAATGAACACAAGAAGATACAGAGCACTATAAAGAAATATAACAGATTCAGAGATACCCAAAAATCCTACCTAGATAGAGTACTACCTAACAACTGTAAGCACTTAAAGGAAAAAAAAATGGATATTCCACAATGAATACATGAATAACTAGAAGAAATGAAGCCAAAGATTAAAATAATAATAAAACAAAATCTCTGGAGAAAAGAACTGAAAGGAGAAAAAATAGCTTAAAACAGAAAATGATAAAATCTTACTCAGTAACTGACTATGAAAATTAGAACAAGCCAAAGAGAAATCAATGACTGTATGAGACAAAAAAAATTAGGAAAAAAAAAAAACAGAAGAAAACATAAGACATCTCATATTTGGAGAAGCGGGGAAGGAGGGGTGAGGAACTAACCTAGAAAATAGGTCAAGGAAAGATCATCTAAGAATCACTGGACTCTCTGAAAATCATAATTTGCTCCTCCTCCCCTCAAAAAAGGCCTAGGCTATATTCCAAGAAATCATAAATGAGAACTGCCCAGATTTCCTAGAACCAGAGGGCAAAATAAAGAGAGACCCCTGAAACCTAAAGCACGGGGGGGGGGGGGGGGGGGGGGCCAAGGACTTGGGGTGCCCTAGCAGGCAAGCTCCAGAAGGTTCAGAAACAAGCAGGACTCTGAGAGTTCTATAAACAAGGAGCCAGGAACTTGCAGCACTATGACTAAGGAGGTTCAAGGGGCCCAAATTCTGCAGCACTCTAACTTGAGATGCTCCTGTGGAACCTTATGAAAGGAACATTCTGAAGCCAAATGAGCCAAGGCAAGGATGGGCAAACTAGAGCTCAAGGGCCTTTTTTTGTAGGATTGCTGAGATGTAAGAATGTTGGGGCTTTTTTAAACTTTTAAATACAATAAAACTGTATTTAATAATGTAAAAACCATTCTTACCTCAGGGTTCTTACAAAAACAAGTCTTATTTTGATCCAGGTCTTGAAACCTATCAGCAATATGAGTACAGATACAACCACCAACACTGTTTTTTTCTTCATATGCCCTACAGTGCCTACAATAGAGCCTTATAAATAGTATGTACTCACTAAATAGTTTTTGGAAGATTAAATCAGAAAATTTTCTTATGATATAAAAACATACACAACTGCACTAGCAGAAGCAATTTACAAATAAAATGGCTTTTTTTTTTAAAGTAGAGGCATTGATTGCTATGTAGGGCAGCTAAATGTCACAGAGGTAGAGTACTGGGCCTGGAGTTAGGAAGGCCCAATTTCAAATCCAGCCTCAAACATACTTACTAGCTGAGTGACCCTGGGCAAATCACTTAACCCTTTTTGCCTCTGTTTCCTCCTCTGTAAAATGAGTTGAAGGAAACAGCAGACCACTCCAGTATCTTTGCCAAGAAAATCACAAATGGGGTTCATGAAGAGTAGGATACAACTGAAAAAGAACTGAACAACAATTGCTATGTAGGCAGGATTAAAGAACTTAGGTTTACAAGAAAAGTTTGTATTTTCCATATTACTTTTTTTTTTGACTTCCAAAATAAAAGTCAAAGTGTTTCAGTGTTGTAAAACATTAGAGAAATGTCTAATCTATAGACCATGCAGAAAGGGCAGCTAGGTGGTGCAGTGGATAGAGTGGCCCTGAAGTCAGGAGGACCTGAGTTCAAATCCAGCCTCAGAACAAACACTTGATTGTGTGTGACCCTGGGCAAGTTACTTAATCCCAATTGCCTAAAAATTTTAAAAAATTAGTTTAAAAAAAATCTAGACCATGCAGAGGAAATACAAAAATCAATTTCCACAGGGAGATGCAAGATTAAGAAAAGTATATGATTTTTTTTTTCTATTCTCAACCTTCTAAAATATTTCCTATCTGTCCTAAAAGTTCCAAACACCTTACAAGGTAATCTTTGATCAAAAAAATTTTTATATTATATAAAATACATATTTCATATGATAAATATATGTAATACTTTCAGGTTCACAAAGTATTGTTGTTCAGTCATTTCATAAGTAAAGAAAAAGAGAGATATATCAGGCAAAATTAGAAAGAAAGGTCAAGGGACAGCTAGGAGGAGCAGTGGATAGAGCTCTAGCCTTGGAGTCAGGAGGACCTGAGTTCAAATGCGGCTTCAGACACTAGACACTAGACATTTACTAGCTGTGTGACCCTGGGCAAGTCACTTAACCCTGATTGTCTCACCAAAAAAGGGGGGAAAAAAGGCCAAAAAAAGCTATAAGGAATCTTCCACATGTTGCCACAGTATGCTGCCTGGCAACATACCAGAGTTATGTAATTAGGTGCCAAGTAAACTAAGTTAAATTATAACCTGAAGTTATAGAGAAATGAGTCATTAACTAAGGACAAATTAAATTTCACAACCCACAATAGCAGAATGCAAATAAAATTTTTATGATGCATGTTATACAGCTAGCTATCTACTGGGGGAAAACACCTCACATGATGGAATTCTTTTAGTATTTTAATAATTAAATCCCCAAGGACAATATAGAAAAAATGTGTAAAATCAGTTCCATGTAAAAATACTGTTATAATCAGATTCCAGTGTATTTATTCTTCTTTATTCTGATAAATCATCATCAAAAGCTCTCCACGCTTCCCCACTAACAATCATAGGCTTCATTCATGATAGAAGAAAAGTCATGGAAAGAGTAAATTTGACAGAGAAAACAACAAAATG